ACACTAGAAATCAGAACAAAATATTATTTCTTTTTTACACTAGAAATAAAGATAGGTTGCCAGGCAAAGAAACATACGCCCACAGCAGCTAAATCGTCCGGGCAGTCAACAAGAGTTGTCGCATATTTTTAATTTTCGGTAATGAAACATTTATAATAAACTAAAATCTGATTATAAATTTAAAGTCAATCGGATATTAACTTTGGCCTCTAGAGCGTCCACAAGATTTTTCAAAGTGATCAAGGGCCATAACTCTGGCAGTAATAATCGGAAATTGCTGAAAATCAATAGGCTTCTTCATCTTAAGACCTTAAACACTGTGTATAAATTTAAAGTCAATCGGATATTAACTTTAGCCTCTAGAGCGTCCACAAGCAATTGTGGACGCCGGACCGTCAGACGGACGGGGGCGACGACAATATACGACCACATTTAAATGCCAAAGGCCACGGGAAACACATTTTGCAAGCACTTCTGGGAGAAATCTAGGTATCATATTTTCCAAATTTATGCTGCTATTTTGACTATAAGACATACTACTGTACTACACAAGACACTCATGACAGGTCTGCTTAATATAATGCTAATACAATGTATTTCTATCCAAATAATAAATTGCATCTTATACATATTGAGGCATGAATACATGTATCAAAGACCATTTCACCTTAAGGTGACAGACATTTGCACGTCAGCATAATATATTTTACTAATCGTTGCGTATGTATGATTTTTCGCGTGAAAATTAGAGCTCTCAGGGGGCCCGCTTATACGGGTGGACTTATTGTTTAATGGGGGCCTGGGAGGACACCGTCCTCCTAAACTCCCTGCCAGCACGCCCCTGCGATGGGTGCACTGTTTTTGCACTGTATTTATTCCCTTATTTATTAAATGATATTATCTGTTTTTGCAAATTCATTCTAACCATACATTTTTATTGGAAAATTTGAAACATCCACTTCGGTTGGAAATGATTAAGAATGATTACTTCAATGTCAAATATTTGATAATAAGAAATAATTTTATGTTATAATAATGAGGAAATTTCAATGATAACATCCAGTATAATTCAAACCATTTTTACCCAGAAAGTGAAGCAAATTAATTAATTTTTTTCTGAAGTAATGGTAGTGATTTTATCGGGTTTTAATAATAACAACAATGAGGAAATTTAAGTGATATTATTAGTTGATAAGGCATATGACTGCAAAAGGATTGAACTCTTTAAAAAAAAAAACCCACAACCAATGAATGAAATAAATGAATGAAATAAACGAAATGGGGTTTAAGGTCCTACTTGCTGCACCAACTGGGGCTAATACACCATACAGTGTGCAATTATGGAAATTTTGCCCGGACAGCTATTGAATTCAAACTGTCAAAAATCCCAGGGGTCTTTCTCGGCCAACACCGAGATTGAACCTTGGACGTCTTGGTTAGTGAGCCAACGCCTTACTCGCTGAGCCACCGATGCTAAAAAAAAACAAAAAAACAAATTGACAAAGCCTCAAAGGTCACCTGAAAGATTAATTAAATCAGTGAGTAGCATTTTATCAAGCTGTGATGGTAATTTGTTCAGATTTAAATGACATCATCCACTCTTTTAATTAAACGAATGAGGAAATCTAAATAAATTTAAAGATTAAATTGTATAAAGATGACCGGACTTGAATCTATTTTCAGTAACAAGATGGCCTAAAATGGTATTTCGTCAATCATAGGGGTTTCAATATAACACATATTTCTTAAGAAATAATGTAAGAAGATACCCACAGAAATAAGGTTTTCATGAAATCAGTGGAAATAATTAGGGGTTTCAAGAAATCTCTAAAAATATAGGTGATTTCATCCCTGGTGACCACAGGGGTGACACAAAATCCCTAATTACATGTACACAGATTCCATGTAACATATATAGAAAGTGCTCGTCAACTGAATATTAAATCATTTCATCTTAGCTGTTGTTTATACAGATTTGTCTCCAAGTTTATTTACATACAATTTGAATACAGATTATGTAACTGTCTTTTTTTCTGACATCAAATGTTATGTAGATAATTAATTAGACATTTAATCACATGACAACCCCATAACAAATTCTTTAGACCAGTTGATAGCTAAGATATTGAATGGAGTTGACAATACTTCATTACTTGCCATTTAATCAGTTAACACTAAAATGAGCGTCATTCAAGAAAGAACTGACCATCGATTGACATGGAAATTGTGGTACCATACTTAAAATTGAAAATCAGCTGATCTAGCCTGTTCTTGTCAAAACTTCAAACACTCAATGTCAATATATACATTTTTCATTATCTATTTTATCGAACAACAAATATAACTAAAATGTTATTGTAATTAGATCCACAGACATCAATATACTTTAATACTTACAGGATTCATCCGATTCCAACATTGGATAATCATTATCCATACATGGTTTTTCAAGTTTTACCATTAACTCTGCCATGGCATCTGTTGGTGCCTTGAAGCTAGATTTAAAAAATAATGTTTCTGGTCTTCGACCAAATATCAAAGGAAAATAACGGTTATACGCTTCCTGGAGTATTGAACATGATGAGCCTTCGTTAACATTGCGGAACTTAAATTCTGCATCATCTACGTAACTGAAGGTTCCCTGAGTGTGATAAGACAGTGGCATCGGCCAAGGATTACCCGCCGTTTGAGACACTTCGGGTCTTCGAAACTTAGTATGACTTCGATCATGTTGAAAGCTTCCAGGAATTTCAACAGCAATCAACAACAAAATTAGCCCCACGAAAGACATTGTCGTTTTCCGCTTTCTTCGATGGGATCTATTCACCAACTCACGTGATAGATCGTGTACAATAGTCTTGAACATGAAGATCGTGAACATGTTATATGACGTAATATCAATACCGGGCACCGGATAATCATAACTAATCCCATGCTTTGTAAACACCAGTAAATCACGTGACTTATCACATGACAACTTGGTAACAAACCGGTCACTTTTATTTATTTTTGTGGGACGTAGTCAACATCAATTGTTCACTCAAAATCAAAATGAAAACAAAGCAGACAATCCACGGCAAATGGAAATATTCCCCAAAGATTGTATTATTGTAATGTCTTGAATGGGTTAACAAATAAACACCCTACACGAATTAGATAAAGAAACCTTTTTATCTCCGCGTAGCGATCTGGAGTCGCGACAACAGTCTGAACAGGCACCCAAACGCAAATGTCCCTATAGCCATTGACTATTCAGTATGGTGGCGACCATGTCAGTTGTTCCGCCTGCTATATTTTATCATGTATTTTTAAAAACTGATTAATTTTCCATACTGTGATGTGAAAGCAAGCTTATAAAATAGGTTACAAATAGGATTAGTCAATATCAGAATATTTTTCATTGGATTTATGTCACCCAACCAAGATCATTTCACACGTACAGTTTTTTGTCGTGTGCCTAATATGTTCGAATAAGAAGATCCTAATCTGTCAAATTCATCAAAAAAAAGACGAAAAAAAAATCAAATTTAACATCTTACTACAATGCCCATTCACTAACTTTCAGGTGTTAACATGGGCCCTATAATAGGCCTACCGACCAAGGTGTAAATAACGCAGCGGCAATCGGCAATTTTATTATATTTTTCAGAAAATCTTCTCAAGTGTCAGTTTTGTCAGCCATCTTTGAACTATCCCGACCGCGCTTTATCGCATGGTACGGCTGGTCACGACCACCGGTTGAACTAATTAAATGCCATTCGCATGCAGATGGTTCGACTATAGTACGAAAATCCGTGCAACCGAAGGTCGCCCAAGCTATAACTGGCAGACAACAGACAATGTCTGCTAGAAGTAATCAAAAGTTGTTGTTATTAGTTAGTTGTATTTTACGTCCGCTACCCTTCCCCCCTTATATCTTGTTATTTGCCAAGAAGATATTAATGTGCCAGGAAAATGTTTATATTTTCTGAAAGATGATAAAGTATTCTTTGAAATGGTATGTAATAATATACTTGGAATTTGATCTTTCATACAGAATTTCGCTGATGCAAATGACAGCATCCTATATTAATATGGCCTCAATGTCGGCTACCTCCACCCCTCTTATACCTTACGATTTGGAAAGAAGATATCAATGTGCCAGGAAAATGTTTATATTTTATGAACGGTAATAAATTTCTCTCTTAAATGGTATATGGCATTATACTTGGAATTTGATTTTTCATATAGCTTTTCGCTGTCGCAAATGACAGCATCCTGTATAAATACCGTCTCAAGGTATGCCACCCCACCCCTCTTATACCGCATAATTCACCATGTAGATATTATTGTGCCAGGAAAATGTTTATATTTTATGAATGATAATAAATTTCTCTTTTAAATGGTATATATTATACTTGGAATTTGATTTTTCATATAGCATTTCGCTGTCGCAAATGACAGCATCATGTATAAATACCGTCTCCGAGTCTGTTACCCCACCCCTCTTATACCGTATAATTCACCCTGTAGATATTATTGTGCCAGGAAAATGTTTATATTTTATGAACGATAATAAATTTCTCTTTTAAATGGTATATTATATTATACTTGAAATTTGATTTTCCATATAGCATTTCGTTGCCGCAAATGACAGCATCCCGTATAAATACCGTCTCAAGGTATGCTACCGTAACCCCACCCCTCTTATACCTCACAATTCACCCTGTAGATATTAATGTGCCAGGAAAATGATGATATTTTCTGAAAGACAATACATTCCTCTATTAAATGGTATGTGACAATATACTTGGAATTTGATTTTTCGTACAGAAGTTCGCTGATGCAAATGACAGTATCCTATAGTGTTATTGTGCTATAGACATGTCCTGAGATCATTATAGGACCCAAGACGTGTTAGATTTGAGTTGAGAGGGATTTGAAGCATACAATTAATCTAAAAAACATTTTTGGTCAAATCACACGATCTGTATGGGTGAAGGCATCTTTAAAGAAAATACTAGATTTTTATATAAATAAAATTTATTATTAAAATATCTACAATCATATTTATCGATAATTCAAAAAATGAAAAAAAAACCACACAATAGAAAACAAACTAATGACTTTTCAAACACACTTAAAGAGGAGAGTTAAGTCAAAGCCTAATAAGTAGGTATACCAGTGGAATGTTGTGTGTAAGCTGAGTATCATCACATTAACCCTTTGTCCTGATAGCCCTGTATAGCACAGTCTCTAATTATAAGTGTTGAATATAATCTCAAAATGGATTTGATTTGAATATAGCATAATCATTACTTGCACTTCTACATGAATTAGTATAAAAAATAAACATAATTCTTATATTTAGGTTCATCTAGGATTATTTTGTCAATAATATATGAAATAAAATTTAAAAATATTTATTCCATTGATGAAATATCAACAACCATTAAATACATACATGTATACACAGTTATACAAATATATATTTGGTTATCATGAATAGACTAACATATACATATTTTTACTAAAGTTCATTATAAAAATAGTTGATATGTCATATAATTTAGTCAGGTTTCTTCGTAACCCGAACTGAACCTTGTATGATTTATACACCACCGAACTCTTCTCTACAGAATCCTGGTCCTGTGATTGGTTCAGCTTGAAAACCGCGTCTGAAAAAATTAAGTATTTGTAGTTTCAAATTGACATATGACTGGATAAATTTTTGAAACATATTAAATCCATTCACTTGATTTGATATTTGTTACTTGTTTCTTGCAGTGTCTATGTAGTTTGTCTTGTCCACAGGTTTGTCTTGTCAGCTTTGTTTTGTGTGGTGTGTGGTCCTCTTGCACTTACATTTTTATGGACGAATGTTATTTCAATGACTTGTATTTTAAAGGGCGATGCTTTCTGAAACTCACAAGATAGATAAAGATTTGCATTCTGTCTATTTGTATGGTCTACTTTTTAAAAAATAACAAAAAAAACCAAATAACCTAAAGTTCAACTAACCTGACCATTCTACATCGATGTTCAGCTAAACGTGGTTGAGCTAAAGCTCCACTATTGATCTCTTTGGCACTCCATAGTCTCTCTCCTACTGCAGATGCTCTCGGCCTGTAATATCAACAGTAACATTATTAAAGATAAATGAATATGGTAGTAGGAAACTCACTTATAACTATTTGCAGAGACCCAGATAGAATCAGTAGTAAAAATCATTCTCTATTTGTACTCTATTTCCGGCTATTTAACCCTTTTTAAAAACATTAATTTACACTTATTATATAATCTTCCTGCTTCTCTTAATCATTTCTATATCTCTGACATTTCTTTGATCAATTCAATTCCGATCTAATATAATAATTAAAATGATCTGATTTTAAGTGTATTTTAGACTTAAAATGACTAGATTTCTTTAATTTGGGTCAACCAGCGGCTGCCAGGCAGGATACGCCCACATTTTCGAGAGATGGATAGAAAACAAGCTAAAACGAAAGTAATTTTTCCTACAATCAAGGGCCATAATTCAGGAAATTACAATTCGATTTGCGCAAATATCGAAAGGAACCAAGATCTTTGAGTTATAAACTTACATTTCAAATTTCAACAAAATCGGATAAAAATTGTGACCTCTATAGGGTCCAAAACTTTGATATACTATATTTTTATGCAATTTGAGAACGAGGGGCGGCCATTTTGTCTGTCAGTTTTGGGCCGATTTTCACGAAATTTGAACTCAGTCGTCCTTAGGGTGTAACGGTGATATAATAATACGTTTTTTTAAATCGGATAAAAATAATGACCTCTATAGGGTCCACAAGCTAAAAACGCGATTTTTCGTACAATCAGGGGCCATAATTCAGTAAGTTACGGTCCGATATGCGCGAATATCGAAAGGAACCAAGATCTTTGGGTTATAAACTTACATTTCAAGTTTCAACAAAATCGGATAAAAATTGTAACCTCTGATATACCATATTTTTACGCTATTTGAGAACGAAGGGCAGCCATTTTATCTGTCAGTTTTTGGCCGATTTTCACGAAATTCGAACTCAGTCGTCCTTAGGGTGTAACGGTGATATAATAATATGATTTTTTAAATCGGATAATAATTATGACCTCTATAGGGTCCACAAGCTAAAAACGTGATTTTTCGTACAATCAGGGGCCATAATTCAGGAAGTTACGGTCCCATATGCGCGAATATCGAAAGGAACCGAGATCTTTGGGTTATAAACTTACATTTCAAATGAAATGAAATGGGGTTTAACGTCCTACTGTTCTGCTCCTATACTGGGCTAATGAAGACGGGCATACGCATATGAGGGAAATTTTGCCCAGGCAGCGGCACTATCGCCTACTCTTATATCGAATTCCAACTGCCAAGGGATCTTTTACGTGCTTTCCAATGTATACACGGGACCTCGGTTTTTCGTCTCATCCGAAGGACTAGACAGCTGTCCTTGTCAGGCCTTCCGTTCTGCACCACTGACAAGGGCTTACATTTCAAGTTTCAACAAAATCGGTAAAAATTGTGAACTCTATAGGGTCCACAACCTTGATATACCATATTTTTACGCTATTTGAGAACGAACGGCGGCCATTTTGTCTGTCAGTTTTGGGCCGATTTTCACGAAATTCGAACTCAGCCGACCTTAGGGTGTAACGGTGATATAATAATACGTTTTTTTAAATCGGATAAAAATTATGACCTCTATAGGGTCCACAAGCCAAAAAACGCGTTTTTGCGTACAATCAGGGGACATAATTCATGAAGTTACGGTCCGATAGATGCCAATATCGAAAGGAACCGAGATCTTAGGGTGAATGAATGAACAATGGTCATTTATTAATATATCTTATTAATAAATGACACGGTACAAAAATATATAAATATGATTGTAATGAAATTTAGACTACAACAAACATATATAATAACAATATAAGTTGTCTAATACTGTATTAATCAAAGATGGGGATAATATTGCTGTTACTGTGCTCAAACAATGTTACTTAATCTATGATAAAGCTAATATTGAGATATCACTGATCTTATGGTCCACTATCTTGTCCCATCTAGATGAACTTACCATAATCTAGAAATAACATTAGTACCATCAACATATTCACCCCACATACATGTTTCACCTCCTTGAATAAGTTGTTTCTGGGCATCAGTTCCTATAAAAAAACATTCTCATTTTAACCTCAACTAGACACAAACTATGTCATTTCAGGACTAACATATGGTTCAAATTTGTTTTAATATATCACTTGCATGTATGGGGTCTTGAGTTGTAGAAGGAAACCGAGGACCCAGAGAAATCCCATGAAATTGGGCAGATGACTCTTCTCCTTGTCATGTACAAGCAGGCAATTGAAACCATGCTACTTGACTCAATGACATACCTTGTGATCTAACGCGCACACATTAAACCATTCGGCCACCACCATACCCTCCCTATGAAAATGTATGTTGAGAAAGCAATGAATTAAGATATTAACCTACCGTTAAAGTTAAATGGTTCACAAGCATAGTATGCCATCCAATCTGATCCATAGGATATATAATTCAAATACCAACAAGTTGATAATAGAGTTTTATATCCTAATTTAGTCACTTTTTCCATCTCAGCTTGCCATCCAGCTTTCCATACTTCTACAACAGTGTCTGCTCGTACCTATAAGTCATTTCACACATTTTAACTTGATAACTTTCAAGATATGACAAATTGAATTGTGCAATATACAGCATCTTCTGCGGATGATATAGTCAAGCCAGTGTCACCTATAATTGTTGGGTAAGATTTTTTAATGGGGCTCTTTTTAATCTGATTGAATCCAAAATGGGAGATAATTTCTTTCAGTACATTTCTGCATGGGAAAGCTGTGAAAAATTTGATTGGCGAAATCTTTGGAGATTAGTAACCACTGAACAATCCCTAACTATTCTGCTTTGAATTTTCAGGATAGATCTGTGTGAAAGATTTGGGCTTCACATAGGTATATCTGAATCCTCTGTTTATACTTTATTTCTGTACAAATTTGAAATCCACTCCCCAATGCTGCACAACACTATAAATAGGACACTACACTCCAAGATGAGATATATTAACACAAGATGTTTTGGTACGACTAATCACAATATCAAAATGCTTTGGTACGACTAACGTTTAGAACAAAGTACGACTGAACTTAAGCGACTTAAAGATACATTATGGGAAATTAGATAAAGAGCTGGCAGTTCACACTATAATAGTTAAAAACTAGATAATGTAAAGGGAATTTGCTGAAAATTTCAGTCAAATTGATCCACTCTTTACCGAGAATTTAGCAATTGAATTTTGGGCCTAGCCTCGATCATCATTACTAAAGTCGGTACGATAAAAAACAGTCTTGATTATCCAATTCATGATTAAACCATGAATGAAAGTTGAGCAGCAAATCGGATCCTAATCCAGTAAACATCGCAGGCTAGCAATGACATCGAGAGTTGATAATGGTCTGGACAAGTTAATTAATGTCTAATTAATAATTTAGATAACATTTCAGGCCTATAGGAAGACCTGCAATAGCAAGATTTAGCTCTTGCATAATGTATGTTTAAGTAATGGTGTTTGCATTAGGTGCGTTAGGCCATCTATTTATATATTTTTCAACTTTCACATAACAATATGTACAAATGCTCTTTGCAGAAAGCAGCCACCAATGAGTAAGACGCTGAAATAAAAAACCCTTAATCTCACCTTAGCTCCATTATCAATGACTTCTTGCCAAATTTGGTAACCTTTACCAAGCCCACCAACAATATCAAGCAAGCTATGAATGACAATACACAAAAATTTACAGAGATAGAGTTTGAACCCCCCACTAGAGGTGTTCGAATCTTATACAATTTCAGTTTGGATTGAACATCATATTCAGAGCCAAACGAAGACAGCAAACTTTTAACTGAACCAGATCTGACCACTGTTCTTCACATGTTAAATTTCTATGTTTTTTTCCCTTACATCTGAAGACAATGGATGTTTTTTTCTTTTACATTTGAAGACAATGGATGTTTTTTCCCTTACATTTGAAGACAATGGGCAATTGTTGTTAATTTGTATTAAATTTACATTTTCAAATGATATCACCAACGAAAATATTTTTCTCTTTACATTTTTTGTTTGGTATTGGACAAAAACGACTTGTATTGTACTGAAACACTCCCTGATAACATATGTTAAAAGAATATTCAAGTTTTATTTACATTAAAATACAAACATTACGTATCTAAAGCTGAGGGTTTTTTTGTTCATGTTACATTTTTCATCATCAGCCACAGTGATGAATTGTATTTTTGACACAGCACCTCCAAACTTTTCTTGACTCCTTTTTTGACTCAAATACGGTATCTTGGAATTCTTTTCAGAATCATGATTAAAATCTCAAAACAGGATAAACTATTTATGTTTTCTTATAGCCAAAGATGTATTCATGCAAACCACATTTGTTTTCCCAAGGTTATATTATCAGAGCTCCAACGCCAAACCTCTAAAGACAAGTCATTTTGAATAATAAAAGTGGTGCTTAATTTTTTTCTTTGTGTGTACTTCAAAATATGAAGTAACACAAAAGATAAATGTGAGAAGCAGTCTTTTGTCAACTCTTTCTCTTAGACATTTTAATTTTTTGTTATGTCAAAACTCCTTTCATAGTTTAGAAACATCAGATATCACTTACTTCTGCATATAATATTCTTCAACTTGTGAATATGATGTATATCCCATCTTCTTCATAAAACTTGTTATTTCTGGGTTGGTCTGCCTTCAAATACAAGATAATCTCACATAAAATAAATATGAACATATTCTTCCTTAATCATATTTCTTTTTTCCTTCCAAATTATTTGAATGAACAGATTTGTGTATGAAACATGGTGCATCTATTTTTATAGTCTAAATATAAATAATAATAATAGTTACTAGAATCAACTTTCTAGATTCAAGATTGTATGTCACAAGTGGAATCAGAACTATGTCAATTGAAAAGAGTCAAAACCGGACTAATAGTTTATCAAATAAGCAAATTAAACCGATTTACTAAAAATATCACAGTTTTTATGCTTGGGTATGTCATATTGAAAGATCTGGTAGAACTGTAGATGACAACAAATTCTTGAATTAAAGATTGCACTTGAATAAAGCCATCTAGATGTTTTTCTAAAAATGGATCCAAGTAACTGTCACCATTATCTACCATATATTAGAATATAGAAATGGATGAACCATCACCTTTTAAAAAATAATCGTTTTGACTTACCAGCAAGCAAAACTGACTTCATCACCACCTAAATGCATATAATGATCAGGAAATAACTGACCGATTTCTGTAAAGAATGAATTCAGAAAAACGTATGTAGAATTGGGGACTGGATTAACTGGACCAAACTGACCATTAGGTTTATTTCCTGTGTAACATTTGGTCAGTAAATCTGGTTGACCATAACCCCATGAAGATGTATGTCCTAAAAAGAAAACACAACATTAAAGTTAAACACATTTCTGAAGCAATTCTTCTGGGTTGTCTTTTGACTAAAGGACATAGCAAAGTCTCAGGAGAACAAACGAGAACACTTCATGTGTATACATTAAAGCATGTTCCTGAAGCAACAATTGCAAGTTTCACAACATCTGGCCGTTGCTTGTTTACTTCACAATTCCCAAACCTATAGCTATGTTATCTACAGACATGTGAGCAGTAGCGTCTAATCAGAGGTTGTGACATCGCGACCTCCATGGAAACCTTGACATTGAATGAACCTTGAACTTTGCAACTCGATTATCACAGGTAGACAATTTAGCTTGAAAGCACGAGACTTGGTATTCACGACGATCGAGGAATCAGATAGGCTCACAAGTTGGGCTTGTACCCAATTGAAATTAGTGCCGCAATATTCAGAGTATTACATGAAGGCCCTGATAAGATGTACGAAGTTAAAGCGAGATTAAGCTTTCTATTGAAGATGACATTAAAGGATCATTAGGTAAGATTAGATAAAGAGCTGACAGTTCTTGTTATAATAGTTAAAATATAGATAATGAAAACAGAATATGCTGAAAATTTCAGTGAAATTGCTCTTATTATTATTTTGTAAGTGTAGATTAAGAATGTCAAGAAGGCAGATTATGTAGTTAATCAATTAATGTAGATGTTTATTAACACCATAAAAGGGTTGATCAGGTAATTAATTAATCAATCCCATCTATTATCAATGATAATAGACATGAGTAGTATTATCCACTCAGTACAGTTAACATATTTTGGAATTTTGAATATTATTCACCATATCTTGATGTCCGATTGGGCATATTTCAATTCGCTAAAGACATGTCCAGAACATACGGGCGAAGAGCATCCTTGGTTTATAGCATCCACAAGTAATTGTGGAGACGACAAAATGACCACATTACATATAAAACTAACGCCAAGATGAGCTTCTTTTTAGGACATGTCAGCTTCAAACGGACTATAGTGCCTGGATAAAAAAGTGTATCACTCAGGCTTGTGTTGAGTGACAACACCTTAATTTATTTGTTTGAGTTCCAGCTATTAATATATTATTTCAAGGTTTATGATGTTTACAAAGGGTATCAGGGCTCAATGATTAATAAGAACGTGTGCTCTATAAGAGATTTATAATCCTATAACCGTTCATTCTCAAATGGCTCATATTTTGGTCTGAAACTTTCAGACAAGGAAAATATAGTTTCTTCATTCTTCAGTGTTAGATTTTCATAATTAAACAAATACTGTTTTCCGAAACCCAGTGAGAACTGGGACTTTTTCTTGAAGTTATGGTCATTCAAAGTTTACATTGGTTTTATCTTTATGGTTCAGGGTGAAAAAAAGTAATAAAATTATTTCAAATTTGTTCATACAAACCAACCCATTTGTCATAATTTATATTTACCGGTATATACTTGGATGTGCTTGTTCCTATACAGTTTTAACATTATTATAGTAAGTATTGTGACTTTCGAGATACATGTATATGTGAACAAAACAGATGAACAAGCAATAAATAGCATCTAACAATAAGTGCAGGGCTACAATGAACCAGAAATCCAGAAACAGAGAAATTGTAAGCCATAAAACAACTATCAAATCAAGGAGTAAATTATTTGATATCTGAAAAGTGACTTACCAGGTGAATCAAATTCAGGAACAACTCGAATACCTCTCATTCTAGCATATTCTATAATATTTTTAATATCAGTTTGAGTGTAAACATGAGTTTCTGGATCATAGGCACCCTGAAAATCATTTTAATATAAATTTAAAAAAATTTAGATGAAGACACAACAATTACATGTATAAATCTGTGATGCTACTAAACTTACATAAATATACAGATGCTCGTAACTATAAAGAGAGTTATCCTTTGCTTTCTGGTATCAAACAAAGAATCTAATCAAGCTAAAATATTGATCTTTTATTAAACTAAAAGTTGATCTTTTATTAAACTATAAGTTGATCTTTTATTAAACTAAAAGTTGATCTTTTATTAAACTAAAATGTTGATCTTTATTAAACAAAATGATGAAACTAAAATGTTTATATTTTAACAAATTAAAATGCCGATCTTTTAACAAACTAAAATGTTGATCTTTAATAAAACTAAAATGTTAATCTTTAATAAAACTAATATGTTGATCTTTTATCAAACTAAAATGTTGATCTTTTATCAAGCTAAAATGTTGATCTTTTCAACTGATCTTATAAAACCAAATATTTAGAGATAATTCTACATATTTTGTAGCAATTTGCCAAAATGTTGGTTTGTAGTTATAGTTCAAAATAACCCTTCTGGTAACCACATACCAGTAATATACCAGTATTCTGTAGTCCATTTAAAGTTCAAATGGAATTGAAAAATGGCACAAATGGAAAAGCATGAAAAAGTGAACAAAGCAATGATTATGTTGCAACTTTAAAATTTAGATGCATAATGGTTAGAGTGAGATAATTCTTTTTAGCATATTTGATAAATCTACTCCTTACATATTTGATAAATCTACACTGTACATATTTGATAAATCTACTCCTTACATATTTGATAAATCTACTCCTTACATCACTATACTAAGAACTTCCACCGCATGTAATCTACATGTACTATCTAATCTAAACAAGGGTTTCCTTAATCTTTGTTTCCTTTTGATTATCAACTGCAATAGTCACCCATAGCTCAGGTTAACATTTAATAAAAAAAAAAAGGCTGACATGGGAATTAGGTTTAAGGAGAAATGTGCAGCAGGTGAATTGACCCATTTTACCTGTTGACTTAGATCAGGGAATGTAGAACTTTCAAATGGAAATGATTGATCATCAACAATATGCCAATGAAAAACGTTGAATTTATTCTGAGCTAACGCATCCTTTATAAAAAGAAAATTATATAAAATAAAAATGTATTTTAATAGTAAAATCAGTTGTCATACCATAAGTGTAATCTTGGGAAATTTTTCACTTTGATAAGGGAAGGAGGGATCATCCACAATATGCCAGTGGAAAACATTAAATTTATTCTGTGCCATCGCATCCTGGAATCAAATATCATCAAATAAAAATTATTACACATTCAAAATAAATATCAATTTGTAATAAGCCTGGTTCACACAGCATATAAGATCCCAAACTTAGATATACATGTAACCCATGCTCAATAGAAGAACAACAGACTTGGGTAGAATAAAACAGGAGTCTAATACATAATGTTTCAAGTTTTACAACACTGTCTGTATTAAACACCTGCTTTATTCTACCCAAGTCTGTTGTATTTTCATATTTATGTCTACTCTCTTCACCTGCAAGATTTTATGATCCTGGAATTACGCAGATCTAATTTGTTTGTCCAACCTCTTGAATCATTCAAGGGAGAGTCTTGCTGATCTCCACCATATCCTCATATACATGTATCTTTAGTTAAATCCTCATATACATGTATTAGTTATATCCTCATATGGTTATATCCTCATATACATGTATTAGTTATATCCTCATATACATGTTATATCATCATATATATATATACATGTTATATCCTCATATACATGTTATATCCTCATATACATGTATTAGTATATCCTCATATACATGTATCTTTAGTTATATCCTCATATACATGTATCTTTAGTTATATCCTCATATACATGTATTTTAGTTATATCCTCATATACGTGTATCTTTAGTTTTATCCTAATATACATGTATCTTTAGTTAGGATTACAATCTTATGCAGAATGAATGCTCAAAGTTCTTTTCACACACCATTATGCTTGTTTCTAGAATGCAATGAAATACAGTTAAACTTCCTACTTTTCTGTGCTGACTGAGCTAATGTAAACGGGCATATGCCATGCAGTGTGCAATGAGGGAAATTTGCCCTCTGTCCTACACCACTGACAGTTTCTAGAATACAGGGAAAGACTTTTTAAATCCCTTTATCTACGGGCCTGTTATCACATCAGCTTACAGTCATAGAGAAAAATTTCTGCACATTATATAAATGTTATTTTGTATCATCAAATTTCTTAATCATTTTAATAATCTAAGTGTAATTATAAATTCAATCTATCAAAAAAATTTTATACTAACCAAATTAGTCATAAGAATAGGAACCGATATAAAATGTCTGGATGTATCTAATAACATTCCTCTATGGTTAAAACGTGGTTTATCAATAATCTGTGTACTATTTACGACAAACTAAAAAAGAAATAAAATAATATTTGGTATTATTTCAATAGTTATCATTAAATTTGTCCAACTTTTTCCTGTGTCCTTTTCACAAGTTTTAATAAACAAGCGGTTGCCATGAACAACATCACCAAGTTTCAAAACTTCTCATCAGTTTAAGCATAAACAAGGAGACAACAACACAATCAGAATTCTTCCTTGATAAACATGTATCAGGAACTCTGACCTGTGAACAATATATAGGTCCATATTAAATGTGGTTAAAAACATGACGTTCCCAAAACCATTTTTATGGTATCTAATGTTTTTTAAATGTTAAAACTTGCATCCTCAAGACAAGCACAACAACAATCACAGCAAGTTTGAACAAAAATTTCAAAAACTCTGGCCTGTCACACAATTTTTGTTAGTGCTTTTCAAGATGACTGATGGAATCTCATAAAAAATAACCGAAATAGACCAGTACAAATTTATTTTGAATATGATATTCAAAATCAACGCCATTTATTTTCTAGTGGAGAGTGATGTGCCCCTTTATTTGTACTGGCAAATAATACTCACCCCTCCATCATTACTCTGATAAACAATTTGACTGAATGTTTCTAAACCTCGTAAAACTCCCCATATTTCAGAAGCTGATAACATAGCTTGATTACCGTTAACATTTAATATATCTGAAAAGAAAATAATAAAATCTATAAATATCAACTACGTCCAGGTGGAGTGTAAAATAAAGGTTAAGATAGACATACATGTATGGATAATTTGTCAGACTTCATTTCTTTTACATTAGAAAACAGAAAATATCATTTCTTTTACACTAGAAATCAGAACAAAATATTATTTCTTTTTTACACTAGAAATAAAAATCCACTCAAAGTCTACAACTTTTCTGATTTGACAAATTTTGAATACAACCTGATTTCAATATTCCTATATATAGTCAAATTAAAAATATATTTCCTTCGAACATAATTCTTTAAAGGGGCGTTATCAATTTAACCTAGATTATAAATGCAATTACATAAATTTACCTTAAAGATACATTATATAAGATTTAGATAAAGAGCTGGCCATTCTTGTTATAATAGTTCAAAAATAGATAATGCACAATGATTATACAGGAAATTTTATTCAAATTACTTGAGTGAAGATACTAGCCTTTGAAGGTTTGACATAATGGGTGCACTGTTTTTGCACCGTATTTATTCCCTTATTTATTAAATTACATTATCTGTTTTTGTAAATTCATTCTAACCATTTATTTTTATTTGAAAATTTGAAACATCCACATCGGTTGGAAATGATTAAGAATGATTACTTCAGTGTCAAATATTTGATAATAAGAAATAATTTTAAGTGATAATAATGAGGAAATTTCAATGATAACATCCAGTATAATTCAAACCATTTTTACCCAGAAAGTGAAGGAAATTAATCAATTTTTTTCTGAAGTATTGGTAGTGATTTTATCATGTTTTAATAATAACATCAATGAGGAAATTTAGGTGATATTATTAGTTGATAAGGCATATGACTGCAAAAGGATTGAACTCTTTAAAAAAAACTCCCAACCAATGAATGAAATAAATGAATGAAATAAACGAAATGGGGTTTAAGGTCCTACTTGCTGCACCAACTGGGGCTAATACACCATACAGTGTGCAATGATGGAAATTTTGCCCGGACAGCTATTGAATTCAAACGGTCAAAAATCCTGGGGATCTTTCTCGGCCAACACCGAGATTGAAAATTGGATGTCTTGGTTAGTGAGCCAATGCCTTACTCACTGAGCCACCGATGCTCAAAAAAAAAAAGAGAAAAAATTGACAAAGCCTCAATTGTCACCTGAAAGATTAATTAAATCAGTGAGTAGCATTTTATCAAGCTGTGATGGTAAATGGTTCAGATTTAAATGACATCATCCACTCTTTTAATTAAACGAATGAGGACATTTAAATAAACTTAAAGATTAAATTGTATAAAGGTGACGGACTTGCATTAATTTTAAGTAACAAGATGCCCTAAAATGGTATTTCGTCAATCATAGGGGTTTCAATATAACACATATTTCTTAAGAAATAATGTAAGAAGATATCCATAGAAATAAGGTTTTCATGAAATCGCTGGAAATAATAAGGGGCTTCACGAAACCTCACTCAGTGATTTCCTAAAATCCCTGGTACGATGACGCGAAATCCATAATTACACAGATTTCATAGAAAGCACTTGTCAACTGAATATTAAATCATTTCATCTTAATTAGCTGTTGCTTTTACAGATTAGTCTCCAAGTTTATTTACATACAATTTGAATATAGATTATGTAACTCTAATAACTGTCTATTGCAGGTCCTTTTTCTGGCATCAAATGTTATGTAGATAATTAATTAGATATTTGACCACATGACAACCTCATAATCAATTCTCTAGACCAGCTGATTGCTGACATATTGAATGGAGTAGACAATCCTTGCCTTTTAATCAGTTAACATTAAAATGAGCTGCATTCGAAACAACTTACCATCAAGAATCATGGAAATCATGGTACCATACTTAAAATTGACAATCAGCTATTCTTCACAAAATTTCAAACACTCAATATATTCAGTTTTCATTATCTATTTCTGAACTATTATAGCAAGAATGGCCAGCTGTTATATCTATAATCTTATACCGGTAATAGATATTTAATAATTTAACGGGACTATCCTGATTTCAAAAGAGTCTCAAAAATAAAAGTTGGAGTACGTACGAAATTTAAGCACCAAAATATAGAGGAATGGTGTATTTACCTTCTCTCAAAATTCCAGCTTAAAATATTGAGTCGTTTGGACGTGAACGTCAAAACTGCTTATCCGGACACGTAACCCTTTTAAGATTTCGGGTCAGTTTTTTCGTTGGGTGACCTGATAATCGATTCCCATTCCTTGAGAGGTCTATATAGTGAATGGCCCATGTGCTCTACTTGATAACGAAAGGTAAATTTCACCTACACATTATTATTATAAAATAAAAGTCTAGTTTTATGCAGACACCACATAATACAGCTTGGGAAAATGGTCTCCATTTCCAGATGAAGACTGGCGGGTTTAAGTTGTTTGAAAACGTATGACAAATAGTGAGTTAGTTGCTCGGCCCTTAGCTAGAGGAATTTAAGGGATTTTAACACAAAATTAAGCAGTTTTATTCTGCAAAAAATATCGGGATTAGCCCTTTAAGCTCCATAATTATAAATTAAGTGTCAATGACTTATAAAAATTGCTGCATTGAACTAAATACTTAGCTCTATGATTGCTGTATCAATTATGAAAAATTAAATTTTATCAAACAGCAAATGTGAAATATAACTAAAATGTTATTGTAATTCCACAGACATCAATACTTACAGGATTCATCTGATTCCAACATTGGATAATCATTATCCATACATGGTTTTTCAAGTTTTACCATTAACTCTGTCATGGCATCTGTTGGCGCCTTGAAGCTAGATTTAAAAAATAATGTTTCTGGTCTTCGACCAAATATCAAAGGAAAATAACGGATATACGCTTCCTGGAGTATTGAACATGATGAGCTTTCGTCAACATTACGGAACTTAAATTCTTCAGCATCTACGTAACTGAAAGTTCCTTGAGTGTGATAAGACAGTGGCATAGGCCAAGGCGTACCCGCCGTTTGTGACACTTCGGGTCTTCGAAACTTAGAATGACTTCGATCATGTTGAAAGCTTCCAGGAATTTCAACAGCAATCAACAACAAAATTAGCCCCACGAACGACATTGTCATTTTCTGGATTTCTGCTTTCTTCGATGGGATGTATTCACTAACTCACGTGATAGATCGTGGTACAATAGTCTTGAACATGAAGACGTGAACCGGATAACCATAACTAATCCCATGCTTTGTAAACACCAGTAAATCACGTGACTCATCACATGACAACTTGGTAACAGACCGGTCACTTTTATTTATTTTTGTGGGACGTAGTAAGCATCCATTGGCATTGTTCACTCAAAATGAAAATGAAAACAAAGCAGACAATCCACGGCAAATGGAAATATTCCCCAAAGATTGTATTATTGTAATACAATTAACACCCTACACGAATTAGATAAGAAACCTTTTTTTTGTCTCCCGTCATTTAAAAGACTGAGATGTTACTATAGGCTATATAATTCCTTATACTTATATGGCAGAATCCGAGGTGAATACTTAAATAAGCTAAACTACCATTTTTTTTCTTCAAAACTACGATTGATTTTAGTTCTTTATTACATTTCTGCCACATTCAACAACATTTAAGCACATTATCCTATCATGGGTACAAATCATCTCTTTTAAATCGAAGTGTTAAAAGCTGGCTTTGCCTTACATTTTATAAAGGAACAGTTTCCACGTTTTAACATCACGAATAAATGTTTTGTACAACAGCCAATCAAAATACACAACATAGACAATTTAAAATCGGCACTAGTGAACCTTTATGTGTTGCGCACAACTATGCACCGGGCCGTAATTATGAATGGAATTCTCTTAAAAACACCGCTTTTACTTTACTGACAATTTTTGTAGCAGGGAAGACGTGTCCCGGTATGAGATATTCAAGGCCTTGTATGGCGCCACCAATTTGTATTGTTTCACCTTTACTGTCATTTTCGACCATAAAATTTGTCAAGATGATACTTCGGGGTGAGGGTTGGAGCCGCTCTGGGGTCCAATGCCGGTCGGGAGTTTTCAGCACTGTACATCCAGCAGCGCCGGTGTAGGGTCCAGAGGCACCGGTCGGGAGCTTATCAGCGCCGGTTTGAGGGTCCAGCAGTGCACAGGTCTGTCTAATGGCAGGAAACTTGACCAGGAAACTTGTTAAATTTGAAGTGCCCGCGAATAGAATACATTATACAGAATAATATCTGGTTACTATTCAGTCACAGCTATTTTACATGCCAAATCTGATTGTTTTATCATTTTTTCTTTTTATCCAAGTCAAGAACAGAGGCAGCTGTAGGCCTATTGTTCCATAATTTTTATTTTATTTATTAAAGTAGAGCTGAACATGTGAAAAAATTAAATAATCTTTCAAAAAAGGAGAAATTTCCCTTTCTAAATTCTATATTTGGTGATATCAACAAATTTTGGAGAATTTGTTGAAAATGCACACATTCTGCCTGGTTTCGATTGAACTGGACATAATTCACATAATTTATTTCACCCCCAGATTAGAAACTCATATCACTTGATATTGAAATAAATGACAAGGAAAAACAGATACATCATTTTGAAATTAATATATATTTTATTTGCCCAAAACACTTCAGTGAGAATAAATATCCAAGCATTCTGAGAAAGTTCCCTACCGGCCCCAACATATTTTAAAATACATGCATCTATATATAAGGCTAATACAGTGAATAAATTTCTATGAATATGTAATCCAAAAACATATTTGATGAATTAAATTCTTTAAAACTGAATTGTCACCCCATTGGTGTCTGTAAGACTGTAACTTTACAAGATAAATAAGTGTACTATGTTTCAATCATATACATAACCTAAAGTCAGAAAATAATTCTGGAAAATAAAATTTTCATTGATTTTAAGTTGACAATGGGCCATAATTCAGTAAAAAATTAACAGAAGTCCATGACACACGACCTTGATTTGTATATAGTCCTTCTATACACCAAAATGTACCAAATATCTCAAAGTTTAATTTAAAAATTTTTCCAGAAAACAGAAAGACAGATGCATGAACGAAAAACTATACTCCAAGTTGGCTTCACCAGTAGGGTACTAATAATGCTTGGAGTGGGACAACATCTTAGAACATATTGGGTGAAACTGAAAAATAAAATAAAGACTTGGTTCAACAAAACAGATATTAGTTTTCACAAAAACACTTTTAAACAGAAATATGAATGAAGTAGTTTACTATTTTAACTTCCCAAATAGATATAAGGTGGTATCAGGTCTTTTAGAAATACTAAGCATGTCCTGCTTCATGCACAACACTGATAACAATTTCTATATATTTGGAGCTATACACAGGACTTTGATTTCAGAAGCTGAAGTAAAATATGAATCATGGAAATCTGCATTTATCCCTGTTGATTCTGTTGATGCCTAAGGAGAAGTTAGAGAATGTGGTTTAATCCTCACTAGACACAAATTAGGTCATTTCGGGACTAACTTATGATTTGATTTTATTTCAATAATTCATTTGCACATGAGGAAATGAAATGAAATGAAATGGAGTTTAACGTCCTACTGTTCTGCTCCTAACCTGGGCTAATGAAGACGGGCATACGCCATACAGTGTGCTATGAGGGAAATTTTGCCCGGACAGTGGCACTACGGCCTACTCTTATATCGAATTCCAACTGCCAAGGGATCTTTTACGTGCACGCCAATGTGTACACGGGACCTCGGTTTTTCGTCCCATCCGAACGACTAGACAGCTTTCCTTGTCAGCCCCTCCGCCCTGCATCACTGACAAGGGAGAACCACGCCGGAAAATCTGGATGAACTTTCTCGGCCAATGCAGGGATCGAACACCCGACCTCCAGGCTAGCGAGCTAGCGTCTTACCCACTTAGCCACGTGATCCCCTGCACATGAGGAAGTTAGGAAGTTTGTGAAACAAAAAGATATATGTAGTTATAAGTGTTAACTATATTATTTTCTTTTTACCATACAGTTCTGAGGAATAAGACTTACCGGCATCAAATCCCAAGCCTTGATTCCAACCTTGGTCCATTCCCATTTCTTGGGTCATTCCCAATCCTTGGTTCATTCCCAATCCTTGGTTCATTCCCAATCCTTGGTCCATTCCCAACCCTTGGTTCATTCCCAAGCCTTGGTTCATTCCCAAGCCTTGGTTCATTCCAAATCCTTGGTTCATTCCCAATCCTTGGTTCATTTCCATTTCTGGGTTCATTTGATTGATTCCAGCCATACCGTACATACCACCATTAAGAGCTCCAGCCATACCACCAAACATACTAGCCCTGTATAAAGGATTTCCCAACAAAGCAGCGTGAGCACCATACATTCCTAGACCTCCATACATGCCCAATCCACCATACATTCCTAGACCTCCATACATGCCTAATCCACTGTACATTCCTAGACCTCCATGCATTCCATGACCATACATGCCAAGTCCGCCATACATGGGTAAGCCACCATACATGCCAAGTCCACCATACATGCCAAGACCACCATACATGCCTAGTCCGTGGTACATGCCAAGTCCATGGTACATTCCTAGGCCACCCATAGGTACTGCCATAGAAGTGGCAAAAATACAAGCCAGAGCAACTACTATTAATTTCATCATCTGAAATAGAAAAGAATTATCATATATATAAACAATTATATAGGGTTTAGAAATTTTTATTTACATCATACTGGCAAAGTGATGAATTCATGATACGGTAGAATAAATCATGAAAAATGGATGTAATTTACAAAGTTTCCATACATTATTCAAATTTTAAAGTGGAAGCCCTGATGCTGAATAGCAATGTGTTAAAGTTTCATGTCCAACCAATCGGAACCACCACCATATATAAGCATTAAATTTAAATGTGTCGGGAGATTGATTGAATATTTTAGTACAAAGTTCAAGATAAAACTATGTTGAGTAACTATTTAATTTTAATATGTTTAGACTTAAAGGATGTAAATCTTTGAATCAATATTATCCAGAGTCTTCAGTTATTTTACCCAGAATATATGGGCCCCCGAGATCAAATACTTAAGACACGGTGAACAGTTTTAAAACCAGTACACGCCAGCGTTTACTCAGTGCTCTTGTGCGCAATTTGTAATCATGTGCTTTGATGATTGAGGCTAAACATAAGTGCGTTAGTGAAATGTCAAGCCGTACTTCCAATGTAGACTAAACTAACCCAATATCTCCTGGCTTAATCCACGCTAATATATACCTAGATTGAATATTTAACATTTAATTAAGAAAATAAAATCAAAATATCAACACTAGATAAACTCCCAGCTTGGATTCAGTCAGATTAAAAACTGGCCCATCAATCAGATTTCACAAAACATAAGGATGATGGTATGCATGTTTACATAGGGAGCAGCACAGATCAATGGAATTTCACTTCATCATATCTTTGTTAATACTGAATGAAATTTAACCATATTTGGACTGATAGTTCTATTAGAAATTCAACTTTTACAATATGGTAGTTTGCAACAGATTCCTATATTGCTTAAATAGCGCGCAGAGACTTTCATGATGAATGTCATTTTTCACAAAATTTTTAAAAGTGAAAATTAATCCTCATGGAAAATGAATTCCATATCAATGTACTGGTAAGTATTTCAGATAAATTTACTAAGACTACCACAAAGTTAATTATAAATTTAATTATAAGGCAAACTGCAAAGTTAAGCTAATATTAAAATATTGCTTGAACTTACCTTGAGGATTGTATGTTTCTAATATAGGTATAGATGTTAATACAACAGTAGAAGTTTGAATTTGAATGATAAACATTTAAATTTCCGCACTTATATATCTTTCATTTAAGCCTTTAATTACTTATTAATTATCTGTAGTAACTCTTACATGACGATAAAATTTTAATTATTCATTAATTAATTCATTAATCAATGAAATTTAGTAATGTTAGATAATCCACAGATTAGGATATGATCTAATATTAAATATTCTTCATTCATTTCCTGGTTGATGAATGAATGGTGACATTGGTAAAATAGCTACATGAATCTATAATCCTACTACATACACAGTAAAACTGGAGGGGCATGATAAGGTACAGATGCTTTAAAATGTTTTCAAATTCGGACCTAAAAATTTATTTTTCTATTTTAAAGCTTTAATTGATTTAAAATTCATATTTATGATTAATATCTATTGTTATCTTATTGATCAACAGTAGATTTGTTTAGTATTTTTTGGATATTTTCATCCATTTCTTCAAATGTACTCAATGGCATGGGTTTTAACCAAATATTGGTATGTAGGCCTATATGTTCAGAAATCCTGCATACTTGATTTCATCAGTTAGTACATGTAGGTACATTTGCTCAATGGTATCAAAGCGTTTCTTGATTGAATTTAGAGTTTAAACTACTTTTTTATACATTTCACTGATATAGTTGAATTTTACTACATATTATGCTTACATTCGTATTTCGTGTAGCATATAGCAGATCATGACTCATGCTGGCATTACACAATGGGTTCTTTGGGTTGTATTCCTTATTGTTTTCAAATTTGAGTGAAGTCTGTGTCACTACAGACCCGGGACTGTACAGCGCAGTAGATCCATTCACTTTTTTTTAATTATCTGTATGTTTGTGTTTTCCTGAGTATGATGTCCTGTCCATGTATTTGTTTTTGTGTAAATTTTGTGTTGTGCAGTCCCCCTGCACTTACTATTGGAGTGACACAAGCACCTTGAAGGGGCAAATTTAAATATTTTTAACTTCTTTCATGAAGCATTTTACAAAATCTAGCCAACAGATTTCTTGGGTTGTGCCATTTAGGTTTATTCAAATAAAGATTCTTAGTACTTTTTCTGATTTTTCAAATGAAGTTGGTTAACTTATAAGGCAGGGCATGGACATCACGAAAATGCAAATTCAGATATTTTTGACTTTAAGAATATTGGTTTCATTTCTTAAAATTAATTGGGGATGGGAAGTGGCACATTAAAGGAAATAATTTGAGACATAGACAATTTGAACATAGGTTCAGAAAATTATTCATATATTGATGGAACTTAACAGCGCTGTATGATTCAGCCCATTCACAAATAGTTGTTCAGATATAATCAGGTCAAAATTCTTATATATCGCAGTTCCGCCAACCTTTCAGCCAGAATTTTGGAATTTATTTTTTCAAACTTCCAGAGCATCTTATATCAATTGTCACTGGATTTATCTGTGGCATGTTCCAATAGCTGACAGTTCACATTTTATCTAATCTTGGTAATTTAATAATTATGGGAGGTGGGGTGGGGGGGGAGTCATGTGGCCATAGTATGCTGTATACAGATACTGTTACATGATAATGGGCATATACATTGCAATGTTTATTACAATAATAAACCAAGATATTATAAAGCTGATAGGGGCCATGGTGGTTAAGGTTAAGGTCCCAGGCTTTTAACAAGAATCTCTTGGTTCGTATCCTAGTGTGGAAAGAGAAGATTATTGCTACTTTTCAAGCTTGATTCCGATTTATCAGAGGTAACTCCTGCAGGGTTGCCAAGGAAATTGTTATATGATTGAGACTAAAAATCAAGTTCAACATGTGTATATACCTGAATGCATGTAAAATACATGTACCCCTTAACAACATGTGTTGTAACCCAGTTCACACTTGTCAGGTTGTGCCTGCAGGGTTGACAAGGAAAGTGTTGCCTAGTCTTTCGGATGGGATGGAAACCAAGGTCCACCTGTATATACACTTACATGCAAGTAGATGAACCCTTGACAGTTGGAATTTGGTGAAGAAGCAGCATAAATTCCAAATTTTCATCCCTAGCATTGTATACATAAGAGAGAGAGAGAGAGAGAGAGAGATTCACTTGCGTGTAGTGGTCTTTAGCAGTGGGAGGTAACCCTACTCCTTGTCACATAAAAGTTGGGAATCAAAACCATGCTACTTGACTCAATGACAAACCTTCTGATCCAACGCACATGTGCTCACCATTTGGCCAGCCAATCCCCCTTGCACACATAACCATAGGCAAAAGGTGTGTTAGTCTCATAATGACCAATGTATTTTATTTACGAGACATTAAAAATAAAACAACACAACAATTTTCTTTTAATTGATTATACTTTATAAGTTTTAAAAATATATGAATATCATGATATAAATTAAGATATTATATTTAATGTCAGCTGGGTGTTTTATGTGATTTTTTATGTTTTAATATTTCAGTTGATGTAAAAGAATATTGTTTATCACAGTCTGTACAGAAATAAGATTTTCTCAGATGATTTTCTTGGGTTTTCCTCTCTTCTTCTATAAGTCTTTCTTCCTCTACTGGATTTACTAGAAGTAAATAAAAAAGCAGAATGGGTAAATTTCTACATGGGAAACATGTAACAAATGGTTGCCATTTTCTTTCGATATGTTCTAATAATCCCACACACTTCAATATTGAATTTGATTTTAATGCTATTTTGACAACTGTTATGTATCATAGAAAGCAGCAAAACAGACAGTTGAATATTTTATTCTAATAGATGGCTAGATATGATAACACCACTCTATTGATGTTTTAAATCACTATGGCTGTAATTGTGTGATAACTATTAACCCTCTTCTCAAAATAATAATACGCATTTGTTCTTTATCAAATGCTAAGACCAAATTTGTACAGGAGACATTTAAAACTAGCATAAACCGTCATGGAATGCTTTGAAAAGTGTTAAAGTGCAGGGTAAATGAAAGGTCTTGATTTTATCGAAAACCTAAGAAATTCAGTAGAAACCTTTTAATTTCTTGTCACCTTAACATTTTTATAACTTAAAGGAGAATTATGTAAGATTTAGATATAGAGCTGGCCGTTCTCACTATAATATTTTAAAAATAGATAATGCAAAATGAATATATTGAACATTTAGTCTTGACTGGCCATTTGAGTCATAGCCTTGCTTCTCCAATTTTAAATTAAATAATTAAATGGCCAAACCGTTCTAATCTACTCAAAGTTATAAGTGTTGGCAGATGTAGCTTAGATTGTTTATTATTGTAGCAACAGCACTGGACGAACAAGAATTAAGTCTCAATTTTCAAATTTATTTTTAGATTTTAAAATCTTGCGGTCATTATGGGCTTGTCATGTTAATAAATAGTTTATATAACATTCAAAACCAAAATAAAGACCTACAATAGTCAGATTTAGCTCTTACATAATGTATCTTTAATTACAATTTATAAAACTCTACAGGTAATCATCCTCCCTACCTGTATTGTGTTTTTCTAAACATTCAGATTCATGTTGTAATCTCTCCATGACAGTAACTATCATACTTGTATCACACTGCGGACATGTCCAATGTTTCTGCATAGTGGATGTAAATTCATTCCACACATTACCACTTGATGAATCTTCACGTAAACTATAAAACACAACATATATTTTAGTATGAAAACAATCAGTTCTTTTGATGAAATAAAAAAGAACAAAATAAAACAGAGCCAGATCAGCAAAAGTGTTTGTTACATGAAAAATATTGAGAAATTACTTTTTAATATTTCACACATTGTTTCTTTGAACAGACTACAGAAGATTTTCCACTTTAAATCAAGATGTTTGTTGAATTTTGGGTTAAGAGGAGTTATAACTTTTAACAAAAAGATATATGTCATCCCATTAATTTTATATAATGCAATATTACCCAAGACTACTTTAAATCTAAGCACTAGTGTACTTAGATCAAGACCTTTTGCACGAGCATCCACAGAACAAATGAAAACAAATATAGGTTGTAATGTGTTTAACTCCTAATTGAAGTAATGTTATTCTGTTTAATTACCATATGTAAAGTAATTTCATTTTGTGCTCATACGATTATGCTCACATATTCAATGTGGATGTAGTGTATGTCGAGTTCCCCCATTTTATTTTTCATTTTTTTTTAAAAGTTGATTTGTTTCATTTTGTGTATATATACATGTATGTTGAGTTGTTTCATTTTGTTTCATCTTTAAGTTGACTTGTTTCATTTTATATTTGTAAAAAAGAACTTACCAGTTAACAACCAGATAATCATTCACCTGTACACCACCTTTAATAATATGTTCTTTACCACTACCCATAATACACTGTGATATACTGCCTTCACTTTCTTCATCTGTATAATTTATAAAATATAAAAATTACTAGCACATTATTGTAGGTGTAGACAATAAATGGACAACAAAACAGGAATTTTAGAGATGTCCTCTACCTCATATTTTCCCAATATTTACCATTAACAGCAAAACAAATTTATATATACAGCTAATCAGTGATGGGATTTCAAAATTTTTCTTGTCAGACATTTTTTCCCGAAAAAAAGGGGCATAACTCTTATCATTATTTAAGCAGGCGTTTTCAAATCACAATTAAGAATCACGTGTCAACAAAATATTCAAATTCATACATAATAAAAAATAAGTGCACCTCGTTATTTTTTTCGTGTTTAATTCCCGTACGGTATTCAAATTTATGTCAATAATATTCCTACAAAATTACATGACATCATAATACCATAGAATGAAAGCGTGCCAACTACTGCTAATTCATGCAACATAAATTTAAAGAGACACAAAAGACAAAAGCATCATCGTCAAAATGTTGGATGTTAATAAACCAGTAATTGTTATACAATAAATAGTTATTAGTGTGATAAATGTCTATTGAAATTTATTCTATATACATCTACTTTATCAAATTCTGTTTTAAAATCATCATTGTCAGTGTATATGCTTCTTGTAATGTATCAAATAATTACATATACAATACTGACTGTTTTAAAGGTGGTTGTGTTTGATTATTTTAATGTTTTAAAGGGGGCTATGTTTAATTATTCTAATGTTTTAAAGGAATTTATGTTTGATTATTTCAATGTTTTAAAGGAGTATATGTTTGATTATTTTAATGTTTTAAAAGGAGGCTATATTTAATTATTTTAATGTTTTAAAGGAGGCTATGTTTGATTATTTCAATGTTTTAAAGGAGGTTATGTTTCATTATTTCAATGTTTTAAATAAGGTTATGTTTGAAAATACTGGTGTACAATGGGGTATATATTTTATTTACATAAGTTACATCAGAGAAATGTGTACTGAAATTAGCAAGATTAGAGACATATCACATTTAAAGCTTTAATTTCTTGTTCAAGTGTTTATACATACCTATTGGTGCTAGAGTTGGTCCATTATATAAATGTTGAACTTCTGCTGCTAATATCCGTCTGATAGCATACTCAACACTACTTTCTAGAAACTCAGTTAATTTTTCTGCCAGTAATTTTTCCAGTCTTCTAGCTCGAGAACTTGTTTTCTTTTCACTATCCATGTTTTTAAATGTGTCTTGAGTAATAATGTAAATTATTAATTAATAAAATATATGTACCCAACACATTTAGAGGGATACCAAGCTAAGAAGTGTATTGAAAATAAATACATTATGGATAATCACTGAATGTCAATAGACAGTGTAGCAATAACTACCCAACAAATCCCAAATAGCAAAGAAAAATTAAAGATACATTATGTAAGAGCTAAAACAGCCTTTTGAAGGGATTTCTTTTTTCCTCAAATGTTACATAAATGATTAATTAGACTTTTATTCACATGTGTACAGTCATCATAAGAAGACAATTTCCTCTCTATTAGTAATCTATTATTTAGAACTTTCATTCTAGTCTATTATTTAGAACTCACCTTCTAGTCGGAGTTGTAGAAGATTTTGCCATTTAGAGCGTAACTGTATAATACTAGAGATGATATACTGTGCGGACTCTGCATCGGCAAATCTTATTTCTAACCAACCATCGCATACCAACCTTAAATAACATTACAATAATTACTGAAGTGTAAGCACTTTCACATCAGGGTCCACTTACTGGTCTGACACTTATTGGCCCAACACTCATAGGTCTGTTGTCCGAACAATTATTGAGTAAAAATAAATATTTTGTGAAAAAGATGATAAGTGCATATTGTTTGATTCATCTGGAATGGGATTGATCTATATCTTATTTAGCATCAAACCACCAATGTTCACTCTAAGCATCAACATCTTCATGAGAAAATCTCTACATAAGGCTTTTCAAATTTCCTTTTGTTTTACAAGTTTACTCGTTTAAATACAATTGTTTTCAATATCTGAAACTACTGTATACTGTTACTAATACTGATAATTCTCTGGCCAGGACAGTTAACAACGATTACCAATAATTTCATGTCCAATTTTTATCTTCATTTTTCAACATAATCTTTAAGTGGCATTAAGCAATTGAAAAACACATGAACAGAGCACAATTTTGTTGGAAACAATCACTAGTTTTATTCTAAAAGCAGAATGTTTCAACAAGTATACTCTTATCATTACCAATAAGAGGATATTTTGTAGAAACGTGATTGTTTCCCATAAAATTGTACTCTGTAAATAGATTTTTCAAGATTAAGAATTCAACAAAATATTTAAAATATCTCACCTGGTACAGTTACTATTGGTGTCTATAGAATTAGAGAATAATGTAACTGTCTGTAAGGCTGGAACTCTCATAATATTTACCAAATATGGTTTGTTGGTCTCCAACAGAGAACTATGAAAGTATTAAACAATAGATGGATTTTACTATACTTTTAGCCTTTTGAAAATATGGGGGTTGGTTGGACTAATGGTCTAACACATGGGCTTTGGATCATAAGGACTGCCCCTGAGTCAACTGGCATGGTTTCGATTCCCTGTTTGTACATGACAAGTAATAGGGTCGCCTGTCCAACCACCTGGTTTTTTTTTCCTGGACATAAGGCACCTACCACAGAGAGAGAGAAATGGGGTTTAACGTCCACTCGACACAAACTAGGTCAGTTTGGGACTAACATATGGTTGAATTTTATTTAAATAATTCGCTTGCGCGTAGGGGTCTTTAGCAGTGGGAGGAAACCGGAGAACCCTGAGAAAACCCATGAGGTCAGACAGGTGACCCTACTTCTTGTCACGTACAACTGGGGAATCAAAACCATGCCAGTTGACTCAATGACAGACCTTATGATACAACACGCACGTGCTAACCTTTCGGTCACCCCCCCCCCCACCCAACTGTCAGACTCCGTACAATCCCTCTGTTGTATGATAATTTGTGCCTGACAATGTCTGTTACTGGGCCCTTATTCACGAAAACTTAAACTAAGATACAATCGAAATTTTAAGAAATACTGCAATTCGATTGGCTGACCAGTAAAATCAATTTGCATATATCCAATTTGCATATTGGTCAGCCAATCGAATTGCAGTATTTCTTAAAATTTCGATTGTATCTTAGTTTAAGTTTTCGTGAATAAGGGCCCAGGTGCCTTATGTCAAAGTTTGTTGTATATATATATGTTGTGTGATAATTTATGTCTGCAAATGTCTGTGACAGGTACCTTACGACCAGGCTTGGATATGGCAATATTGATAACGCTAACATAGCGCCAATCAAGTCAGCCGATAAAATATGTCTACTTACACAAAAGCTAATAGTTCATGTTTTCTACTTAGTTTTCCTCTTAAATCATCTGGACAATTTTTCTTGTCTTTTATGTCCGGTGGCTGTAAAACTTCAGGTTGTGTCGTAAAAACACTGGTAGGATGTAATAATATAAAACCTTTATTCTGTAATAATACAAGTTTTATATAAAACAGATATATATTTTATAACGATGGTTTATCAGGAAAGATAATATAAAGTTTGAAACAAATTCAACATTTGGACATAACGTTATCTCAAACTAGTATATGAAATCAACCAAACCACACCTTGAAGGGATTTAGTCAGTTTTACTAACTTACAAACAGTTCAATTGTTTGCTTACTACACCTTTTAGCGTTATTCGAGATTCTACCCGGATTATCAACCTTATTGTTAAAATTGTTTGACGTCAACTGGCAGACTATCCCCATTCAAGAGACGACCCTTGTTAAAACCGGTTATATTATTTCTTTTACGTCTTTCTTGTAAATCCTTTTTTCTTACTTTAAGTGAAGCCTGTATCATTACAAGCCCCAGACTGTACAGCACAGTGGATGCTTACAGTTGGCATCCAGATCCATTCACTTGATTTGATATTTGTTATTTATTTCGTGTAATGTCCATGTCGTGTGTCTTGTCCACAGGTTTGTCTTGTGGGTTTTATTGGAAAATGTGGTTGTACCATAAAAAAGGTCAAACCAATTTAATTTTTGGGTTCTGTGGAATTTTGAAGAACGTTTTGTTTAATATTTCAAACTTGAAAAATCTGAGCTAAAACCTATTGAGCAGAACAATCAAATACTTTTTATTTTTAAATCTAAAAAGAAGGAAAGTATCAGATGCTCCTGAATGAATAAAATTAAAATTGGTATTGGCTATATATTTGACTAACCTTGGTATGATAAGCTTGATCTGTATCCATTTTATATGTATTACAATCATCAGCAATAGCTACTTGTGGATATAAACCACTACATAAGATAATTTTCAATAAGTTGATATCTCGTAAGGTAAAATGACGACTTTTATTTGCAGTTTCCTATAGAAAACATAATAAAATTGTGATTTATTTAACATATAATCATTATCACATAATCTTATTTTCTGGACATATGTATTTCCATCTAGTCATCATCCAAATATAATTTCCAAGGGATCCGTTAAGAAAAAGTCAGATTTACCTGCGATGCCAATTTGTATATATTTTTTGTCTTATCTATCAGATATTACCACTGAAAATTGAGCAGTGGTGCAAAGGTTTTCCGTGGCCCGGGCAAAGTCACTTATGGCTTATAGACGCACATGAAATAAACCTAAAGCAACTAATTTTGAATTTAATATTGACACGTTTTTAATCCTACCTGTAACTGGTTGAGATCATTTGATAGTCGAAACTCTAAATCTTTGATATCATTTCCTTTATCATCCTCTTCACCATCACTAATAGTGTAATCCTGTAAAACATTATATAAACTTATAGTTTAAGCCTGTCAAACATTATATAAACTTATAGTATAATCCTGTAAAACATTATATAAACTTATAGTATAATCCTGTAAAACATTATATAAACCTATAGTATAATCCTGTAAAACATTATATAAACTTATAGTATAATCCTGTAAAACATTATATAAACCTATAGTATAATCCTGTAAAACATTATATAAACTTATAGTATAATCCTGTAAAACATTATATAAACTTATAGTATAATCCTGTAAAATATTATATAAACCTATAGTATAATCCTGTAAAACATTATATAAACTTATAGTATAATCCTGTTAAACATTATATAAACTTATAGTATAATCCTGTAAAACATTATATAAATTTATAGTATAATCCTGTAAAACATTATATAAACCTATAACAGTACTTTCATTTTATCAATTCAGTATGTGGAATAACAGAAAAATAATATCATTATGTCCATGTTGTGAATAATAATAAGGTATGCTTGTGTGCATAGATGACATTGTCAATTTGGGGCAAATATCAAGAATATATGGAACAAAATGAAAAACTTTCACTTTTCCTTCACTCTCCATGTCAAGTAATTAATCATACTAACATTTTCTTCTAATTTTAAAACTTTTCTCTTTTTAGATTCTTTATTCTTTTCTTTTTTTAATTCTCTTAATCTTTTTCTTTCACCATGTTTTTGTCGTCTTTGATCACTGGTCAAATATCTATCTTCTTCTGTTACTTTCTCATATAGGTTATGATCCTGTGTAAAAAAAAAAAAAAATATATCAATGTGTTAGTAAATTTGAACATATGTATTAACTATAGATCATGTAGCCAGGTCAATCATCATTGTTTACGTGTTAAGCAGACTTTACATAGATATCATCCGCCTGTCAGGCTATATATAACTTTATTTTTTTGTTGTAAATTTGGATATATGTATTAATATATATGTCTTTTGGGCTCGATGAGATCTTGCACTGGCAGCCTTTCCTTCAGTTTAGAATTCATGATTATCTAGAATAACAACGCAAATATCAACAACAGGCAACGGTGCTATTTTATTTTGAAATTACACCGATAACAAACCTAGGGCTGATTACTTTCAAATGTAATTGATTAAATTAAAATTAATTTGGGATTTTTATGATTAAATTATTGCGTATGTTATCAATTAAATTACAATTACTTTTGATAATGTAATCAGTTAAATTTTGCTGTTACTTTTAACACTTTTCCTTCAGCTAAGATCAGTCAAAACTATGGCTACAAAACTATCGATATATGTTGTTCTACATGTAAACTTTTAAGAAAGACAAATGGAAAATTAATATATTCAAATTTAAACATCATATTGAATCAGTATAGGTACTTACTTTAAGCAAATCTTGAAACTGTCTTTTTAGTTTAATCATTTCATAAAATCTCTGTTCTTCCATAGCTCTATGTTTACACCATTTCTTTGTTCCCCTACCTTCTGCTTTTACCTGCATTATATCAATTACAACAAATATTACTGATTTATTCATGAAATAATTAAATGAGATATAAACTTTTATATATCTACCTAGTTGTCTTCAGAATCTCTTTAGAAACACATATTAATATATAATTGATACTATCAACATAAATGACAACATTTTATTATACTGTGTTTTTTCTTCATATTTAGATTTATATATAAAGATAACATATGTACCTGAATCCATTCATCAAAAGCATTAAGAAGTGTAAAAGGGTCTCCATGTTCTGATTCTAATGGTTTTCTAGCAGCCTGAAAGATTTACAAATAAAACATATAGTAAAGAAGTTTATTTGAAATATTAATTGATTTTAAACACATGTACCTGTAGTTGTGTTCAAATATCTTACTATGGATGAGATAAAAAAAAAAGACATGATTTTTTATCCATGTTCAACAACATGCACATGAAGATTTATTTGCAGGAATTCATAAAACCAAATTCAGGTTTGGGGAGAAACATTGACTTTACTATTAGAAAAGTTACATCCAATTGTGGTTCTTTGAATAGCGTATAGAAATGGTTTTGAATTGCAGAATAGAGTTTAATTATGGTTTACTGATACCAAGCTGTCTAGTCAATGACTAAAAACAAAAGAATCAAAAATAAAAACTTACAACAGCTTCGTGATCTGTATGTGCTTTATAAGGAAATGGTGATTGTACGCTCATAGCTGCTGCTATAGATAATACAGGATCTATCATCTAGTAATAATAATATATTTATATATCAATCAGTGTTTATGTCCCAATGTCTTGTAAGTAATCTTTACACATGCCATGCATAAATAGTCAATCCTCTATCTTGAATCATAATTATATAGGTTTATGTATGTATTTAAAAAAAAACAGTTGTAAAGGTCTTTTGCTTCTGACCATATATTATTGAAGGAAAACTGATCAATTTGATGATTTAGCAATGTTCCAGGGTTGGTTGTTTCTTGATTCACAATCTCCTAGAGAATGTCACCAATCATTTAGACATTTCAGATTGTCTGTGGTACATTAGTGTATTGTTATTGCTTGGCGGTTATGCTACACTGTCTATTAAAGCCAATGATCATTATTTGAAGGATTTTGAATACCTTGCAAATTACAATCTTGTAAAAGTTGAATCTCTGAACCCAAGCCAGGTGTTTATCACTGATATTTTGGTTTTGTTTTCTTAATGAAATGTTAAAATATCAATTTGAGTATTGGTACCATACATTTCAGCATGGAATAAGCTGTGAAAAATCAGATATTGTCTGAAAAATGCTAGTCATGATCAGCGGAAATTAGTAGATATTAATGATAACAGATAGAAAATTGTGAATACTTACATGGAATATAGATCCCATGATTAACATTTTACCTATAGCTACCTCTACAGGTAATCTAGATAACATCTCACCTATAGGTGTTAAACTTTCATCACCTTTTAATGCTCCCTGAAATATTATAAAAATATTATAAGGATAATAACGAATGCTTGTTATCAATAATAATCCATGCCCACTGATATAATATAAAAATAATAATAAACAGCACATTGTACAGCACTAATGATATTCAGATATCAGTGCATCACTGTTGAAAAATGTATAATAAAATATAACATCTAAAAAGTTTTTATTACAGAAGCAGTTTTAAAATGGTTGGTTGATTTATGTGGTATTTCCATTTTAGCCATTTATTTTTTCAAGGTAAGCCCATGTCAGTCTTTACTACTCTTTACTAATTTTTATATTCCTTTTGACTTAAAAAAAACATTAGTGCTTTGGCGACCTTTGTCTGTAATTAGAAAAATGATTTTCATTATGATGTGATTTGAATGACATCATAACATTTTAAATTCACACATAATTTATAGAGGTTTTCATGGAGTTCAACACATGTTCCTGCAATAATGTTACTCAGCAGGTCAGTACTTCGATTTTCAACAATTACAAGGGTAGAAAAGTTTATTTGGAATATGTTATACAATATAAAAATAACATCTATTATCTTGCTACATGTGATATTGTCTCTTAAATGTCAATTTCTAACAAGAAATGATTTATATCCCATAATTGTAATCAACTGATACTTCCATAAACAATATTTTCCTCAATTGATAAGAAATACAATCAACTGTAATCAACTGATACTTCTATAAACAACATTTTCCTCAGTTGATAAGAAATACAATCATATTTAGACTTAATCTCTTCAACTGATAACTACAATTATATTTAATATCTATAACTTACATGTTCTTTTAAAGAAATAACAGCATTTTCTATACTACTCATTGATGGAGCTTCAATAAATGGAAACCTAAAAATAAAAATATTTCAAATGAGATCTTCTATTTATCTCACTACTACCTATTTTTGATCTTGATGAATTTTAAGTAACTTGTTTTCCTGCTAATCTTTTCTTAAATGTGCAACGAGTACCCAATTACTAAAATCAGAATAGTTTTAACGTTTTAACGTCATGAAGGCGGTGTTAAATATTTGTCGTGTACAACAGCCAATCAAAATAGATGACTTAGTAGAGAACCTAATACACTGTAATTATGAATGGCCATATCAATTTTGTTAAAAACACCACTTGATTAACTTTACTGACAATATTTGCAGACAAATGAAAGTTGTTTCACTACATTGGGTCGGGTATCTTTAATTAGTCCTAATAGTATAAAATTACCTTATTTTTAAGATGCTACATCCATTAATAAAGAAATTAAGTTTGCCAAGTGAAACTAAAGGCATCCAATCATAGCTAAAAACAACACATCAGTATAACTCAACGTTTTTAGCTATGTTCTCGTAGCTTACAGTACTTTTACCCCATATAAAACTTACTTTCTAGCATCAGGTAATCCCATAGATAACATCTGTAATATTAGTGTATCTAAGCTAACACGTTTAATCTCAGGTGTTGAAAATTCTTGAAATGCTTCTTGATCTGTTTTATCATAGAGTCTAAAACACACACCTGGACCTGTTCTACCTATAATTATATAATATATACATAAGTAACTTCAAATATCACAGGGAGCCACGGTCTCAGGTTCACCCCTGGTGTTAGTCGAAAAAGTTCCTCTGGATTTTCCAGCATTGTTTCTCATTGTCTGTGGTGCAGGACTGAGGGCTTTACAAGGAACAGTGTCTAGTCGTTTGGATGGTATGAAAAAATCAAGGTCCTTTGTACACATTGGTGTGCACCTAAATGAACCCTTGACAGTTGGAATTCTTAATAAGAGTAAAGAGTAGGCTGTAGTGCCGCTGTCCGAGCAAAATTTTTCTCATAGCACAGAGTTTTCATTAGCCCAGTAGGTGCCAAACGGCAGGACGTTAAACCCAACTTCATTTTATTTCATTTCAAATATCATATGTTAATCTTTGTAAAATTAAATTTCTATATACTATTCAAAAAAAGTAGGGGATATTTGATTTTGGGGGCATAATACTAAAATATGCAAATGACTACGAAAAAAGTCACTATAGAACCTAACAGAAGAAACATTTCCAGTTACATGCGACGCCCAAACGCACCAATAGCTACCGCATGGAATGCAGGTGATGCTTGGGATCATCATGGGGGTCCAACCCAAGATTTGCACGACTCTGACTTTGAATGTTACAGTCATTGTGGCATTGAATTCCAGGGTGGAAACATCAGTTTAATTGTTTTAGTGACCAGAAAACAAATTTTGATATGCGTCGGCTTACCCAAAATGAAAGGTTACGTGCCCTTGGCATGCTACAGATCGGCACAACACAGGCGGTTGTGGCGCGGACGATGAATGTTTCTCAGTCTGTCATAAGCAGGCTATGGTCCAGATACCGTGATACACAATCTGTACAGGACAGACCACGCTCAGGTCGACCAAGGGCAACAACTCAAGCCCAGGATCGATTTATCCGTACCTTGGCCTTGAGAAATCGTGTCATCACAGCAAATCAGATCAGCGCTCGTCTTCAAACAGACACTGGTGTGAGAGTGAGTGGCCAGACGATTCGGAATCGACTGCATAGGGGTCACCTTCGCGCCCGACGTCCTCGCGTGATCCCTTGTTTGAGAGATCATCACATTCAGGCAAGACGTCGTTGGTGTAGGGATCGTCAACACTGGGATAATCGACGCTGGAGCAATGTGATGTTTTCAGATGAGTCAAGGTTCACTGTTGATTTTTTGGACAGACGTAGGAGGGTGTGGCGTCGTCGAAACGAGCGCTTCCAAGACGTTAACGTCATCAGACATGATCGATTTGGGGGTGGTTCTGTTATGGTGTGGGGAGGCATCACTGTTGCTGGAAGAACGGCTTTACATGTTGTTGCAGGGCGTGTTATAGGCCAGTACTACCGGGACAACATCTTGGCAGTCCATGTTGTGCCGTTCGCACGACGTCATGGCCGCCGTTTCATCTTCCAGGATGACAACGCAAGATGTCACAGGGCCAGGATCGTTACAGGTTACCTCCAACAACAGAACATCACCACATTACCTTGGCCAGCACTGAGTCCCGACCTCTCCCCCAACGAGCATGTCTGGGACATGCTTGGACAGAGGTTACGTCAACGTCAACAACTTCCTGCCAATGTCCAAGAACTTGCTGCTGCGTTGCAACAGGAATGGGACAATCTGGACCAAAATGACCATAGACGTCTCATTAGGAGTATGCCACGTCGGATCAATGCTTGTTTGGCAAACACAGGAGGATTTACCCGTTACTGACTTGGTTGTGATGCTGTGGTAACTTTGCTGTTTGACCCCGGGTATCATTTTACCCTTATAATGGCCAGTCTGTGCCTTACTTAGTCTAACGATCATTTGGAATAAATCGATGAATGTGAACTTCATTTCATTTTGTCATTTGTTTCTTCGTCAGTTTCATAAGGTGACTTTAATAACACTTAAAAATCAAATATCCCCTACTTTTTTTGAATAGTATAAGTATAGAGCCATATATCAAAACAATCTGATTATTGCTGTCTTGTGGTTGTACAAGATTAATATCTGACATATTGTCTGTAGTGATTTAGATGTTTGCAGAGACACAATTAAAAAAAAAAGAATCACAGATTTAACTAGAAATACTGGCAACACACAACACAGCTGAAATGAGATTTTTGACAGGATTGTACACTGGACAACACACCAGAAAATCAAAAACAACCCACAGAGGCCATAACATCCTTACAGTGAAATAGAGGCATAGGAGGTAAAAAATCAAGTCAGTAAAATATGTGTCCATCTCTAGCAGCCACATATGCCATGAAATTTTCGCAGGATAGAGGAGATAAGCCTCAGAATGGATGCTTGTGGAATCCTTCCACACTCTGGTTGCATGTGGAAAACTCAAAGTAGCAGCAGTATGGGAAACAGGCAGCATGCGATACTGCAGATCTTGTCAGACAATGTGGTAGGATCCAACTTGATGGCATCCAAACATTTGGGCAATGGCTCTGGTACTCATGACCTCCTGAATGAACACAAAGGTGTAGGAAAGGAACTGAAAACTTGTTTTACTGACCAGCTCTTCCCTTTCTTTGTTCAGAACTAGCAACACTTATCCAAAACTCTTGTAATCTCTGCATTTTATATTTTGGATCAAAGTTCATTTCTTTCACCTGAATAAAAACAAAAATACTGAAGTTTACTAATCAGAGAGTACAGGTATATGATTCTGGATTACTATCATAATGCATTTGCAATACAAAGAAATCAAACAATTTAAATTCCAATTCAGTTTATGACTTATTTGGGAGAGAGAGAGATATGGGGTTTAACATCCAATCGACACAAACTAGGTCATTTCGGGACCAGCATATGGTTTGATTTTATTTTAAAAATTTGCAGGTATATAGGGGTCATTAGCAGTGGGAGGAAACCAGGGGACCAAGAGAAAACCGAGGTTGGACAGGCGACCCTACTCCTTGTCATGTACAAGTGAGGGATCGAAACCATGCCACTTGACTCATTGACAGACCTTATGATCTAAAGCCATATGTTAGACCATTCGACCACCAAACCCCCTAACTTATTTAGTCACAGACAACCAAAAAGTAAAATACAAGAGACTATCATATTCATACCTTGCCTGAATCTATAATAAATCTGACACCATCTATAGTTACTGATGTTTCTGCTATATTAGTTGATACTATACATTTTCTTACACCTTCAGGTGCGATATCAAATACCTATAATATATTAATAAAAAACTAATTACTCAGATAGCTTAATAATCATATACAAACTTTTACTGTAAATATTTCACTGAATATACTTTTACAAAACGAAAGGAAAGGAAAGAAGGAAACGAAAGGAAAGGAAAGGAAAGGAAAGGGAAGGGAAGGGAAGGGAAGGGAAAGGAAAGGAAAGGAAAGGAAAAGAAAGAAGGAAAGGAACGGATTTTAATGTCTGTCAAAACATATTATACCTTATCTTGTTCTTGTATAGAGAGAGCACTGTGAAGTGGTAACACTATCCAATGTTTTGATTCTAGACTATACTGTTTAACAGCATCACATATCGCCATAATTTCTGTCATACCACTTAAAAATATCAACACATCACCTCTTTCATTAGCTGGGTACTGAAAATAAATCAATCAGGTTGAATAACATAACTATTTACCTCTTTGTTCAAAGTTTTTAAAGTTTTATTTCTAGACTCATTTGTTGATAAAATAATGAGTAGTAAAAGACATCTGAATACTAACCTTATGATCTATGAGGTTTAAGATCTTTAGGTAAGGTGATGGATCTATTTTCTCTGTTTTTCCCGACAGCTCATCTTTCTTAATAGGACAATATTCTAATTGAATTGGATACAAACGACCGGGAACCTAAATAAACCATAAAGAGGACAAGTTATTGAGCTATTCATTATGAGTATTTAATTATCTGTATAAATATTATATACAATAATCAATGACAATATAAACTTATATTTACTAAATAAAAAGTGTGAAAATAACCATTAATTGACAACATTAAAGGGAGATAACTCTGTTTCAAGTCCCTAGCACAATATTATCTCCCCTTAGACCACAGATCCTCCTCTTTGTTTCTCTCTACCATTTCTGGATGTCATTAGTTCATATCCAAATAAAACAATTTAAATAAAGTATATCTCTATGGACACCCTATTCATTTTGGGGGGATTTTCTATACTAGATTTAGACATTGGGGATGTTTAAAACTTCAAATTTTTAAAAAGAGAAGTATTTGTTGAAATGAAATGGGATTTAATATCCTACATTTCTGCATCAACCAGGCGAATGACTACGAGCATATGCCATGCAGTATACTATTGAGATAGATTTTTCCGAGACAATGGCTCTTGTGCATACTCTTGTTGAAGGTTTCTTTTAAGTGCACAAACTAAAAAAAAAACATTCTTTGAATGCATATTCTAAAAGATGTATTTTTGATCCAAACCAAAGAGGGCTTTTCTTTACAGACTTACCTTTATTACTGGGGCATCATCAAAATACGAACTAAACAGGGATATATTTATAGTAGCTGACATCAATACCAGTTTCAAATCTTCTCGTTGTTTTAACAAACATTTTAAAACACCCAGTAAAAAATCAGTAAATATGTGACGTTCATGAACCTGTAATAATAAAGAAGAAGACATATGTACGCTTGTATCATATAACTTACATACATGTATGAGTCTTTTATAAACCTTCAAGAGTTGAAAATATATGCCCCTCCCAGAGTTACCACTTCAGAACACAACATACTAAAATTCAGAAGAAATTGGTCAAAATTAAATCTTGATCCCCTTTTGAATCAAAACATTTATTTAAAGTTAACATCAATTATCGTCATTATTTATTATTTTGTCAATTTTTATTAGACAGTATCATTAATTGATATTTTAAAATGAAATTTACTTCTTTGATATGATCATGAATAAATTAATGAATCCTTATTCTTACCTCATCAATAACAATAACATCATATTGTGATAAATACATATCAGATGTCATCTGTCTTAATAACAAACCTGAAAATAAATAAATAAGCATGAATAATAATTCATAAATAAATACATGTATGAAATAAACCATAAAGCTGCTGTAGTTGGTTTGTGAGAAAGATGACCCAACAGTCCATGTTTTTTAAATAAAACTTTAATGTTGTTTCTTTTGAGAAAATGAACACAGTTATTTATTTTTGATCTCAAGTTAGAATTCATAAAAAACAAAAGTGTTATCATAAACTCGTTTTTCTTTCCAGAAGGCACATCTCAAGGTGCAGACATCTTGTGGACAGTGGATAACTCTCATGACCCATCAAGTTCAACTGTTTGGCTTTATTATTCAATATAATAGAGAATATCATGTTCTTGGCTATTTACAGGCGAATACAAGCTACTGATTACAATGTATGTGTACTAGATTTACCATACCAGTAATCACTTCAGAAATTGCCATTTGAGGTTCATCACAGCCCATTTCTGGTTGTGTCAGACACTCTTCCATTACATAAAATTAGAAATATACACCATGTACTAACCTTCTGTTAGAAATAGAATCTTTGTTGACTGAGTTTTGCTCTTCTCAAATCGAACCTATTTACAAAACACACATCATATTTTTAAGCAATAATAATAAAATTTGAGTTTTAAAAAGCATTAGACTACAGCAGGATTGAGCTATCTTTAGACAACTGACAATGACTGGTGCCATTAATTAATCTTAACGTATTTTTGAGTTGAGAATAAATATGTATTAAATATTAACAAGAATAATTTGTTTTACCTGATATGCAACCTGAGAACCAAATTCATTTAATGTTTCATATCCAACACGTTTAGATAATGATATACATGCTATACGTCTAGGTTGTGTACATGCTATCTTAGTAAATCCAGCATGAAGAAGATACTGTGGCACCTAAAAAAACAATATCAATTTGAAAAATGTCCACAAATTATCTACCACTATTAACTATTTCGAACTTAAAGCTGCAAATATTCAAGGTCTAGCTGGTCGTGGCAATTTGATTAACATTTTGCCTACCATATAGTTTTAGGACGCAGAACATAAGGGCATGCTTTGAAATGCCATTTTTAACTTGATAGAAAAGTGTGGGGAAAATATAGTTTAGACATTCCCCAAGATGTCATTTATGTGTCCCTGTATATTTAAATAGACTTTAAAACTTTAAACAGAAATTTCTGTTTTATTTGAATTAACATGGTTTGGAAAATTGCTGACTATAATTAGACCACTGATGAGAACTAAGATGTGATTGGTTGAAAATTTTGCATTATGCTATCTCCAATCAGTCAAGTCAACAATTTTTCAACAATAGTAATGTGGCAGAGTAGTATTACATATTGGATAAATAATAATATCCAGTCACAAGTGGATAAAGTAACCAACCTCATCTGATTTCAATATTAGAGAGCAATGATTATTGAACATGGACAACAACAATAGGGCAAGAATTTCTGTAAAATCTAATACCTGTGTAGATTTACCACAGCCTGTATCACCTGCTACTATAACTATCTGATGTCTTTTGATCATTTGTACGATCATCTGACGAAACTGATAAATAGGTAAATTCTCTTGGTCTTTACGTATCTTCTTTAATTTATTTAGCTGGAATTTAAAAAGAACACTTATAACACACACGAAAGATTTCAAATGTTCGAATTGTTTGATAAATTTATTCAGCTGAAATATAAAAAGAACTTATGAATTGCTTAATTAATTTTGAACAAATGTCCAATGCAAAGAAATAAATTTTAAATATTTGATATAGAAATATTAGGTCTACCTTCTGTTTTTGTTGAAAATCTAAGTAATGTACTAATATACTCTTAAACTGTTGCACTCTATCTCTGGTTAGTTCCCTTTCTACATCATAATCTAAAATAAAACATTGTTTAAAGTATTTCAAACACTAATTTCAATATTTCAAACATCAATTTCATTATTTCAAACACTAATTTCAATATTTCAAATATTTAATATCATCTATTATTAGATGTGAATTAATACTGTTGTGATTCAATGATTATTGATGACTATATAAATGGACTACTGCGGTACTTCCATCAACCTCACTTTTTTATTGTACAGCACAGTGGACGCTTACAGCTGGCCCCCGGATCCATTTTCTTGATTTGATATATGTTTATTTGGTGCAATGTCTATTTTCTGTCTTGTCCGCAGGTTTATCTTGTAAATGGAATGAAATAAAATGAAATGGGGTTAAACGTCCTACTGTTTTGCTCCGAACTGGGCTAATGAAGACAGGCATACACCATACAGTGTGCTATGAGGAAAATTTTGCCTGGTCAGCGGCACTACAGCCTACTCTTATATCAAATTCCAACTGTCAAGGGATCTTTTACGTGCACGCCAATGTATACACGGGACCTCGGTTTTTCGTCTCATCCAGATGACTAGATAGCTGTCCTTGTCAGGCCCTCCATCCTGCATCACTGACAAGGGGGAACCACGTCGGAAAATCTTGATGAACTTTCTCGGCCAATGCAGGGATCGAACACCCAACCTCCAGGCTAGCGAGCCTGCGTCTTACCCACTTAGCCACTGTGATCCCCAGGTTTATCTTGTACTCTCGTAGATTTTTGTTTTACGTGTAGTGCGGTCCTCCTGCACTTACTATTATACAAACTTCTTGTCAGTTGTTACCCAATCACTGGTTGAATTTGAATACCTGTGGGGTAACTATGCATACTAATTTAGATTATTAGTATATTACTTACCAATCAATCTGCCCTTTTTAAGAAAAGTTTCAATATCTTTACTGACAACAGTTAGATTGATTCTATATCTGTTATCATAATGCTGTGGTAGATCTAATGTCCCTTTATCATCAACTTCCCTCGGCTTTGACTTATCTGAAGAAACAGTTTTACATGAATATTTGCTTTTACAATTTCCAAGAAGTGCTATACATGTATCACATTTTAATTATGCTATGCATTTAAATAGATGACTAATAATATATTGCATTAATAACACATGTATGAAAGAATGTAGGCCTACTGCAATTATAGCACAAGCTACAGATGTTGTATTATACATTTTGTGAATGGAGATTAAATAACACATTTTCCTTTTAGTTTTTAATTCTGGGTATACCCACACAGAACAGATTGTTCTGATTGTGTATATTACCTTGTTTATCAACCTCTCCGCTGTAGCACCCATGATAAATACACATGACTATAATGCTTTTAAATATTTGTTGAATTATTTTAGTAGAAGTGATCAATTTAATTATCCATAATCACAATTTCCTCTTATCTTAAATTAAAAAATCATTTGTGGTACGTCCAAATGAAGCTAAATTTTGTAGAATTTATTGTACAGATACATCTATATTTATTACCCTTTGATTTCATTGCTTTTTTCTTTTGAAATTCTTGATACTTCACCAAAAATGCCCAAAAGTCATCATATTCTGGAGAGCCTCTGAAAAAAAATTATAATTAATCGACAATAATAAAAATTGCTACAATATTGAATTAATTGGAATATATTGGAAAGGTACTATCAAACAAACTGGTTCCTTTTACAAAACAGAAAACTACAAAAAAAAATATTGATTTTCAGCATGCAGAAACGTTAAAATTACTAGCAAGTATCTTGTTGTTAGTAAATATACCTTTTGATGAAATCCGTTTCTCTGAAGAATATTCTGTTTAATGAGTGTTTATAGTTTGTAAAATCAAATTCCAGTCTTCTTCTTTCTTCATCCGAATCTGGGTTAGTATCATCAGCATCATTTTTAGCAGCATCACTTCTGTTTTTCCTCTCATACCCATCTTCATTTTTACCTCTATCATTTCTGGATTTTGAAGTAAGTCTTTCCGTGACATCTTCATTTTTCCTTTTGGATGAATGATGTCTTTGAAATCTGTCATCTTCACTCTCACTTTCAGATCTATAATTTGGGACTGCATGTGATGAATGATGATGTTTTTTCATATATCTATTATTACATGTATCTGCTCCATATTCATCTTGGTCAGAGTCAGTTTTTCTTTTTTTGTCGCTTACATAACATTTTGTATCTTGTCGATTACTGCCAGACTGGTGCCTGTCTTTCTCCCTTGAGTATTTCGTGGTGGTTTCATGAATGTGATCTCTTCTTCTCTCCTCATCCCTGGTCTGCCTATGTTTAGTAGAATGAGATTCATTTTGTTGCCTATCAGTATCAGTATCATCGTAGTGTTTTCGTCGTCTGTCATCTTCGTGTCGATGATGATGTTTATGTCTATGCTTGGAACGATATTCTCTGTATTCCGACATAGTTAATCGAGAAATACACTTACAAATTTACAGCTGGAAAATAATTGTAATGTTTATATCGACCAAAGAGTTTTGTTTTGGTTCCATGGGCGCAGCCATTTTACCGGAAGTGATCTATTTTGTGATCAAATATACTAACCGATAAATAGTTATGAATGCTGACGAACAATGTATACGAAGTTTAAGGAGAAAGTCTGTCTGATGCATATACAAAGCCAATTGTAATTATTATCGCGTTATAATGACCAATCTTTTCATCCATCTGTACAATGTATTTGAAAAAAAATAAGTTCGTTTTTATTTATCTTTTTATCGGTTGTATTATAACCTTATTTTGTAAACACAAGAAAGAAGGCGCCAGTTACGATTTGTTTGAGAGCAATTGGACATAAATCATCCAGACCAAGATTCTGCAATATTATACTTTGAATAAAAGTACTATCCTACTATAAGGTAATAACAGCGTGCAGAAAAAAATATGCAAAATTTATAGATCTAAATCATGTAATCCAAAAACCAGGGAAAAATCAGTTTATCTCAAACTGAAAAGTAGGCCAGTCAATCCCAGAAATTAGAATTTATTAGAACTAGATCTAGATAAAGAAAGCCCTCAAGAATGATGTCTAGTTGTTCAGATGAAACGATAAAACAAGGTCCTATGTTGGGGTTGTTGGCGTGTACGTAAAAGAATCCTTGGCAATTGAAATTCAACCAAAAATTGACGTAAATTCTGGTGTGCAGGCAAAATTTCCATCAATTCTTTAAATGACATCTAGAGGCACGGTAACTATTCATAACAAAACACAAAACAAGGTGTATATATATACCGGTATATATATGGATATAACTACTTTTCAGTTATTTAATAACAACGTTTCAAAACACATGCAGGTCGTCTTCCATTCACTTTTACCAACAAATACCTTTCAGAATGTAGGACTGCTCCTTTTAAGCGACATATTTCTCGCTGGGATTATTTGTTTCGATTTTGTAGAATTGTATAATTAAGTTTATTATAATTTCAGATTAGGTGCATATAGAATGTTATGATAATAAAGGAGAATGGAAGTAGAATTTACGAATACAATATGTGGAGAAGAAACCAGGTATATTTATTATAATAAGGAGTCTATATTTTCCTAGTTTTCATCAAGCTCATTGAGTAGGGAGATAGTTGACTAACCAGAAGGTCCTGGTGCTTATCGAGTAAGTTCTTCAGAGTTGTTTCCCATTGTCAGTGGTGCCAGACTGAGACTTACAAGGAATAGAGTCTTGTCATTTAGATGGGGCGAAAAAAAACCCAAGTTCCTGTCTACGCAAGAAAAAAGATCCTGTCTATGCGTTGGCCTGCCCGTCAAAGAACCCTTGGCAGTTGAAATTAGATGAAGAGTAGGCCTAGGCGTAAACATTGCTGTGTCGACAAAATTTCCCTCATAGCACAGAATTGTATGTTCACATGTTTATCTATTGTTTTACCACTTAAAATTTCTACCAGGTACATGTAAGTTCCTTTTCAAGAACTCATTTGCTGAAGTTTTTGTTGATGCTTTGATTGTAAACTGATAAAATGAACACTTAAAATATATGATGATGTTTCAGCTTTATTTACAACAAACATTTCTATAACACAGATATATGATTTCTCTTATAGTTTTCTTGTTACATATCATCAAAGTTGACATACTAGAAGTTGGGGGTTAATGGTATACATGCCTGGTGCTGTTATAGTATATACTGCATACCGTACCTTAAATTTCTCACACTTGTTTAGTGTATGTAGTGAACGTTGTTAAGACTTTTCTATTTCAAGGAATACTGTACATACATAATAGGTAATTATTTTTATGTTTTAGTCCCTTGGAGGCGTCAATATACAGTTTAGAGGTGATTAGATTAGCAGGTGAGGTAGATGAGGATATAAGTTCAAATTTTGCTGCTCTCGAAGAGGTAAGTCTTCTATCCACTCTCTGTCTCAAAATGCTACTCTATAAAATATGCCTTTGCTTGTAACTTTATCCAATATATATATAAGCACAAAAATATGTTAAAGATAGGTAAAATGTTGATAAAGATATATTTAGCGATGATTCTGGACTTATTGTTTCATTTAAATGGTATGAAAAACCAAGGGCATGCATATAAAGAGGTGGTGTCAAAAACAATAATTTTATGTTAGCTGCAGATAGTCTCAATGATTGTGTTGACGAGACTTTAAACCCTATTCTACTCAAATCAAATATTGTCTTGCCACTATGCTAGTTAAAAACGTCAGGATAATCCCAGCATAAAAAGCCTTCTGAGTAGGTCACGGTACTTTGTTCATTTCTTTATGGTTTGTTAAAACTGGTGTCTCTTCAAAAAGGTCTTGGTAAATGTATTTCAGAAAAAGCGAGAAGCAAAAAAGAAGTTCATTAATTCTTGTTCTAAGAGATTAATACTTGAAACTATTTTAAATGATCAGAAAGATTGGCCAACTCTTACAGATGCAGGTGAGAAATTGATGAAAACTATTCATTGTTAAATTTTCCAACATCATTGTCATTGATGTATACAAACCGTCGACTGATGAGTACTTAACTAGTTCTGACCTTAAACAAATGTCCATTAATTTGAAGATAATTGATGGAACTCAGATTGAAACTTCCATGAACAGTGAGTTAATTTGAGCAAAATGAAATGCATGTATTATAAAATTGCTTGGTTAATACTGACTTAACAATTTCTTTTTTATTTCCAGCTGAAGAGTTAAAAGCCACATCACGGAATTTAAAAACTTGTAAATCTGAAGTAGAAGAAACTAAGAAAACAATTTTTTCATTATGTGAGACAGCAGAAAATGGTACTGGTGTCTTCTTTATTTTGATAGTTTAGACATAATTAATTCACTTAAACTTAAATAACCATCCGAAAGTAAATAATAAATCCGCCTTCCTCCCCAATTTAAGGTATTTCTGGGTACATTATTTCATTCCAATTACCTCCTGTTTAAGCAAATTCATCAGAAAAAATGAAGTCTTGGCAGAAAATTTAATCGTTATTTGTTCGTTTAACACTCGCTCTACCTAAGATGTGAAAAGAAACAAGTTACAGGATAGCAGATGACTTGTAGACAGATATACTATTTGTAATAAGCGAGTTCCTGGTAACCAGAGATCCTTATCGGTTGATTATAGTCAACTGCAGCCATTTGATGTTCGATAAAACAAGGAATTGGTTCAATTACAAAAAGCTAATTATTACATGTTGATTAAGAATTCAATCAACTTATCACCTACCACCATATATCAGTATTGTGTAGATTCTTTATAGACTGTTTAATTTCAAATCAATGTTAGGTAAGATTTCTGAACATATTTCAGGTAATTAAGGTGAAAATTAAGATCAAAAGTTTGAATTTCGAGAAATTAATTGGAAACATCAATTGTTATATTTTCATTTAATTTAGCTTAAATCTCTTTCTTTGTACTATTACTTTACCTGCAAAAATTTCCCTTTTCAGCATACGTGCTTTTAAAATCAAGAATTAAAGAATTACAGAAAAATATGACATCACTCGAGACAAAGGTAATAATAGAATTTAATATGATACCATTTACATATTTCTAGACTTGACAAAATTTAAATGGTTTGTCTAGTTTTACAAGTGGAAAAATGAATAAAGATTGTTAACTTTTTTTTTATTTGATCTTAGAGGAAGAAGAATATTTTAAATGATAACACTACAATTAGGTATTGAATCTTGTTAATAATAAAGAAACCCCATGCTGTGCACACATTTGATGAAGTACTCTGACAAATCAAAGAGAATCTGTCTGGGCTGTTGTTTACTCTGAAAGAATACAAAATATCTTTTCTTCAGTGTGCTAAAAGGACAATTTTGTTTTTTTGTTAGAACAACTACCTTTTTTCAGCTGTACATAAAAACATATTTTACCCCATATCCTCAATTTATATATATTTTGAATTATCTATTTTCAGAAAAAGATTTTAGAAGAATTGAGAGGCCAACAAAAAGAAATTATGTCTGATAAAACAGTAGAAATTCAACAAGCTGCAGAAAATCAGGTTAGACATTTAAAATGTTAAGATATACCGGTAATACTATTCTTGTTGAAAATGGGCCGCTGTTAAAGATACCTTCCCGCGTACAAACTGGGTGATTTGATGATATATTTGGACTAAAACATATTCAAACTAATTAATCTATTAAAATTTTGCTTCAAATCCTTCACAAAACATTATGTTTGCGAGGGAATACCCCTGTTATAAAAAATCTATTAAAAGAGATCATGTTTGTGTCACGCGACTTGGTTGACTCGGTACCAAGCAACGGGTGCGAATCCAGAGGAAAATTCATTGCATATACAAGATGATGTTGTCTTTAATCGCTGATTATTTATCATAAATATCGAAGCCTAATTAAATTCTCGGATTATACACTGCCTATACTTTTTCCATGGTTTTTATCACAGAAACTGTTGTGCGTGTAAGCTCACCATAAAGTTCATCAACATATACATCAAGCGCTCACTAACGTTGAGAGATCAGACAATCTTCGCATTCAACCTTTGACGTCACTCGAGCAGACATCCCTTTTGGGAAACCCTTACATTTTTGTCCTGTATGCGCTCCATGGGTGTATTTCAGGGAATCCAGTATTTTTCTAGTAAGATTGGATGTTTCTACTTTCCATATATACCAAATTTACCATACTTTTATTGGAAATAATCACCTGATAAATACTTTTGTGGGAAAGTATCTTTAATTGAATATGTATAATATATTGTATGAATAGGGATATTATTTCATAAACAATATATCAAAATTTAACTTCATCTTAAACATGACACACATCATTGATTTTACTTAGAAATAAATTTCAAAAACATATACAGTTTAACATCCTTGATGTTTGTTTACTGGTACTCATTTACATGCTTCCAAAAATAGAAACCCAAATACAATAAAGAATTTAAATTTGAAACTTAGTAAGCCTATTTAAAGTCTTATAATGCAGTAGATTTCTTTATTTATTTCACAATTCAAATATTTTTGGGGTAAAACAGATTTCTCATTTGATAATTTTGGATAGTTCCTCGGATGTCATTATTTGTTATCATGAAAAATCAACATATTGGTCAGTATGAGCCTTTAATAAATTGTATTTTAACTTGTTATTTATTTCAATCTGATTAAAATACAGATCTATATTTCATTTCATTTTTTTATACTTTCGATGGCCTACACTGCATGAAGATCTGACCAGTTGTTTTGGGAGGTCGCATCAGGTCGTACGAGCGTTTTTTTACCCTATGATGTCATACGTTTGATTAACCAATCAGCATTGATATTTCTAGTGTATTACCCACAGTTCCGTGCATCACACGCCTAAAGCTTGCCGTAACAGACCTTTTCATTGGCTTATCCCTCACATCATCCAGAACATGTCAATTATACAACTCTTCCAGATCCTAGTGTAGTAGAGACAAGTAAATTGAAATTTTGAACTATAAAAAACGAAACGAAATAGGATCTGCGTTTTAATTAGATTGTATTTATTTTTAATATTAGACTTTGGCTGTAATAGAACAGTGTCAAGAATCTATAGATAAGAATCAGTTGCATATAAAACATTTAGAGCTGGCCATTAATAGAGTTAAAGAGAGAATGGAAATTATAGCCAGTTTAGATGATCAATCAACAGAACCTACTCACACTTTACAGTTAGAAAGGTTTGTTACAATATCTTCTTGAGATTAGCTGTAGTTTTTGATGTGAACATTACCCATGTGTGGAGGGGGGTTGAATGGCTGAATGGTTAGCGTGCGTGCGCTGTATCATAAAGTCTGTCATTGAGTCGACTGGCGTGGTTTCGAATCCCCGGTTGTACGTGACAAGGAATAGGGTCGCCTGTCCAGCCTCGTGGGTTTTCTCCGGGTCCTCTGGTTTCCTCCCACTGCTAAAGACCCCTACGCGCAAGCGAATTGTGTAAATAAAATTAAACCATATGTTAGTCCCGAAATGATCTAGTTTGTGTCGAGTGGACATTAAACCCCATTTCTCTCTCTCTCTCTCTCCCATGTGTGAACATGTAAGAAACTAAAAAGCAAACATTTTATCTCTTGCACAAAAAGGAATTTGCTCTCAGTCAATCATTATTGTTATTCATGGCCATTCAGAGCCTACATATTCATGTTGTAATGTCATTATGACTCATTGAGTCATCCATGTCTAGAATTTTGGAAATGATTTGTTGATCAGTTTATAAAATCACACAATGTTTTATTGAGACTTTATGGAAATGATTGGAATATAAAGGGCCAATCTCAATTATATTTTGGAGAATAAAACTGCTTAATTCTGCGTGAAAAGCCCTTAAAAACCTCTACCTTGAAGCCGAGCAACTAACTTAATATACGTGATACGTTTTCAAACAACTTAAAACAGTCAGTCTTCATCTGGAAATGGAGACCGGTGTCCCAAGCTTTATTTACGGTGTCTGGATAAAACCAGACTTTTATTTTATGAAAATAATGTGTAGGTGAAATTTACTGTTCGTTATTAAGTACAGCACACACATCACACTCTGTTTTGACCTCTAAAGGAATGGTAATAGATTATCATGTCACCCAACGAAAAAATTGACTTGAAACCTTAAAAGGGTTTCATGTACGGATAAGCGGTTTGACGTTCACGTCCAAACGAGTCAGTATTTTGAGCTGCAATTTTCGGACAAGGTAAAACACTATTCATCTTTATTTTGGCGCTTAAATCTCATACAAACACAGACTTTTATTTCTGAAACTCTGTTAATATCGAGATGGTCTCTTTAAGTTATTGTTTCTATGTTCAGTTTACCTTCAAAAATCCTATAAAAAGTACTAAAGATCCCATTTTCTCGTGTTTTAACTTTTTTTTTAGCAGCTTAGGAAGGAATGTTTTATTCAGTCTTTAAATCCATATTTGTTTTTTTTTCTGTTTTTCTTTTAAGGATCCAATCAATGATAACAGTTTTTGAAAAGTTGGGAGGTATTAAAGTCAAATCTGTTGATGATGATAAATTACAATTAGAATTTGATAGTCAGGATGACCAAAACTCGGACAGACCTAAACTATTACTTACCCTAACCTTTATACTCGGATCATTCAACAAACCTTACTTAAAAGATGCTGAGGTTAGTTTATATAGTTGATTACATATGACTGGACAATGTTTCTTTAATTATGTTACCGGTACATTTCAGAAAAGTTATGTGAATTAAAACAAAGTTGACTGATGACAAGGGCAGTGTGCACTTTCCCAATCATTATTCCTTTTTTGCAATAATTTCTTACTAGCATTAATTTTTTGGTTTTACTTGGGCCCATTTCAAAATGTTGAAAGAAAATAACATATACATACAATATTGTTTGATTAAATTGTTTGTAAGTCTTGTGTTTTTTATGAAAGTGAATTACTGAACCCAGGACATGTAGTATGATGTTGATGTTACTGCACACCCACCCTGACTCTTCCCCCATATTATGTTTTCTTATTCATGAATTGTTTATATATATTTATATAGGTTAATATTCTGTCATTAGATGTAAAAGATATATTAGAAGAAGCTGTTAATAATAATAATGTGGTGAAGCTGATACATGAATTAAAGACTAGATGGTTCTCACATGTTCCACTTCTATCAGAGATAAATAAAATACAGAACAGGTACTACTACGTAGATATGGGGGTGTCCCATAAACTACAAAACCCATTCTTTATCCAGTTGCATTTTTACCAGATTATAGTTTGTAAACTCATATCTAAAAACTAATATTGGTGTTAATAACCTCTTCATGTGATCATGCTAGCAAAATAACATAATAGTATCATGTCAAAAAAACTGTACTGAAGAATTGGTTGAGGAGCAAATTTAGAATTTGTCCAGCCCATACTCTAACCCTTGTTTTATACAGATGTAGTACAAGTAATGTGAGTAGTAGATTCTAATATTTAGGTGTATTTTAAATTTGATATTATTTTAGTTATGCTATAGATTGGATACAAGAGGAAGGTATAATACGTGTCATGGCAGGTCGAGGTGGTAGTATTGTTTTGACATTATCCATACCATCAACCTATCCTGTTGAAGGAACAGTAACTCTTGTTGATATTAAAGGTAGTAAAATAGACGCCGACCAACTCCAGGTAAATTATAGTATTCCTAATAAAAACTATCATTCTATACAAAATTGTAAGTAGTGACAACTGTTAAGAACATTACAGGATCTGCTTTCTCTTTCTGGAACACCTTATACCATTTGTCATTAATTTGTCATTTAATTAGGTAGAAATGAAATTATCTTTAACTTGCTGTTATTGATATACACCGGACCTCAGGTTTTTCGTGCTATCCAAAATATCAACACTTTTCCTTGACCTCAACTTTCTCGGACAAAACTGGGATTGAAATGGTTACCTGCTGCTAAGTGTGCAAACGACATACTCACTGAGCCAGCATGGCTCCAGGTTAGACATTTAGAATTCAAATTAAAATTAGGACGTAGTGCCACAGTCCGTTTACCTCATAGCATACTGCATGACATTTTCCCAGTTGGTGCAGAAAAGTAGGATGTTGAACCCCATTTCATTTTGATTTTCTCAAATTTTCTGTATTATAGAGAGATCAATATAATACTCATAATTTAACATAATCTAACATGGATTTATTTTCATTCAATAATTTAGTGTTATTTTTTTTTTCTATTTCAGGAGAACACACAATGTAAAACTTTAGAGGAATGGGTCAAATATCTTGAATACAAATTTGGAAAACCATAAAAGATTGTTCTGTATAAATGACTGTGCTAAATTATATTTCCTTCTTATAATTTCTGTATTTCATATTTTTTATACAAACTTTTTAAATTGTGTTTCCTTCTTCTATCCTTACGATTTCTATATTTCATACCTTATCATTATCTATATGAGTTATAGATATTAACCTTCCATCCTTATTTCTATATTTCATACCTTATGACTAATAAATATTAAACTTCATTCCATATAAAATCATTAATTACTTTTACCTGTATAATTATGAAGCAGCTTATTTTGTTCAAGGGAGAATCAAGAAAGGATCCTGTTATAACTAAATCCTTGCAAATTTAATTTGAACAGATATGAACAAGGAACCCCCAATCAAATTTGATTTGAGAATTCAAAAGGGTTAATATATGGACATAGCATAGAACAATGTATACCAGTAGCAATCTTGGACATAAGACACCTGTTACAGACATAAATTATCACACAATGTATACGTTAACCATTATGTGATAATTTGTGTCTGATAATAACTGAAGTGAAATGAAATTTACTACTGTTCTGCTGCAAACTGGGCTAATGAAGACAGGCATACGCCATACAGTGTGCTATGAGGGAAATTTTGCCCGGACAGTGGCACTACAGCCTACTCTTATATCAAATTCCAACTGTCAAGGGATCTTTTACGTGCACACGGGACCTTGGGTTTTTTTTTGTCCTATCTGAACAACTACACACCCATTTGAAGAAAAGACAAAGCTGGATGCATTTAATAATCTATTATATGTTCTTTCATCATCTGTCTAATGCAAATATGTACAAAAGTTATGAGGGATAAGTTTTATGCTTGTCTGAATATACAGTAAATCTAATCAACAGCATAGAGTCGATATGTTTATTGAAACAAACTATGACAATTCAGTTATAAATTCACACATAAGTATCATACACTCAAATACACAATATGCTTAACTAACAATAACTCTTTCTAAGCATTTTTGTGTAAGTTCAAAGCACCATATACTATTTCATCTGCAAAATTAGTTTTCATAAGCTGTGTAATAACATTATGTGAATACATGTTAGAAAAAAAAACCCTTAATTCATCAATCAAATTGATGTCTTAAGAAAACTTATAAATTCTATAAAGTAATGCCCACTTGTTAATAAGATAGGTTGCAAATGCCATGCAATGAAATATATGACCTCTGGAGCTATGTTGTCCGAATGATCAATAAAAGAGAGGGGGTTTAACATCCACTCGACACAAGCTAGGTCATTTTGGGACTAACATGGTTCAATTTTATTTCAATTATTCGCTTGCACGTAGGGGTCTTTAGCAAAGGGAGGAAACCGGAGGACCCGGAGAAAACCCACGAGGTTGAACGAATGATCAATAAATGTTGGACGTATGATCAATAAATGTTTTGAGATAAATTAATAGTAAAATCTTTATGCTGATAATCACTGCATCATTGACAATAATTAGGCAATAACACGACAAGTAATTATTGGAAACTGTTGTAATTTGATAGACTTGTTGATTGCAATGACCCAAATTATAAAGATCAAATGATGATAACAGATATTTAATAGGCTTTATCTGCACATAGGCCGGATGAAAACTTTAGTCACTAGACTCTTTGCAAAATATTGAAATTCTTGAAGATTTTTATCTGAACATAAATTTCAAGACATTTGATTGGATTAGCTAGTGAGGTAGATGAGAATATAAATTCAACTGTTGCTGATCTAGAAGATTAAAGGTCACCGGAAAAGGTTCATAAATTTTTTAAATAATGCAAGTAATTATGTCAACATATCCTTTCCATAAGTATAACACGAACCCGAATGTCAATATTACCTGCAACAGGTAAATTTCAACGTCAGCAATTTCCGCCATTCTCCGTGGGTAGTCGTAACTTTCCGTAAATTTGACGTCATTTTAGTCCTTCTGCTCATATTCTAGTCTATATTTCTATGTGAAGAAGGACTAAAATGACGTCACGGATTGCTTATTGACGGAAAGTTCCGACTACCGACGGAGAACGGCGGAAATTACTAATGTTGAAATTTACCTGTTGCAGGTAATATTGACGTTCAGGCTCCTATTATACTTATGGAAAGGATATGTTGACATAATTACTTGCATTATTTAAAAAAAAAATTGATGCTTTTCCGGTGACCTTTAAGTCAAATTTCCACTTCGTACGAGTCTCTGAAAACACACAATTCTACAAAATATATTTTTATTTGTAAATTTATCCATGATGTAAGGCGTTTTTATCAACCACTGATTAGCCAAAGTGATTTGCATTCAATTAAATTTTCATCTTTAACGTCCATCTAATTCAAATTGATTACCGTAAATCAACAAATTTATTGACATCGATTTCCAAAGCTATTACCACAAATTGCCAAATCAACTCTAGGTGCGATTTGACGATTTGATTAAGTGATCACATGTTTTGTTTTTTTTTTAATCTATGTCCAGCCACAAGAATTGTTTACAGCTAATCGAACTCACCAAGTTACTTTGAAATCGACTTTACTGTCACATGACATCTCCACCAATTTCAAATCGATTTGGCAAATCAATAAAAAAGCCTATATTTGGAAATAAAACACAAAGACAGGTTGCCAGGCAACAAAACATACGCCCACAGCAGCTAAATCGTCCAAGCAGTCAACAAGGGTTGTCACATATTTATTCTTTTGTAGGTAATTAGGGGAATTTAATAGACAATTTAATACAGATGACATTATAATTTTCGTTGTTTGAAGGTTCACAAGGTTCTAAAAACTAAAACAAGGGCCGTAACTCTGGAAGCAATCTACAGAAATTGTTCAAATTCGACAGGTTTTTTTCGTTTTACTAATTCAAATAATGCATATAAATTTCATACAGATCGGATGATAACTTTTGTTGTTCGAAAGGTCACAAAGTTCAACAAAGTTAATCAAGGGCCATAACTCTAGATGTAATTGAAGGGAATTGCTGACATTCAATAGGCTTGTTCGTCTTCATTTCACTAATTTAGGTGATAACTGAAATTCAATAGGCTTGTCCGTTTTACTAATTTATATGATACGTATAAATTTCATACAGATCGGATAATAACTTTTGTCGTTAGAGCATTTACAAGGTATAACAAAGTGAAACAAGGGCCATAACTCCAGGTGTAATTAACGGAAATTGCTGAAATTCAATAGGCTTCTTCATTTCACTAATTTAAATGATGCATATCAATTTCAAACAGATCGGATGATAACTGTTGTCATTAGAGCGTTCACAAGATTCAACAAAATAAAACAAGGGCCATAACTCTAGAAGTAATTAACGGAAATTGCTGAAATTCAATAGGCTTCTTTGTTTTACTAATTTAAATGATGCATATACATTTCATACAGATAGTTTGATAACTTTTGTCGTTAAGAGCGTTCACAAGGTGCAAAAAAAGTGAAACAAGGGCCATAACTCCAGAAGAAATTAACGGAAATTGCTGAAATTCAATAGGCTTCTTCATTTCACTAATATAAATGATGCATATCAATTTCATACAGAACGGTTGATAACTTTTGTCATTAGAGCGTTTCACAAGATTCAACAAAGTGAAACAAGGGCCATAACTCTAGATGTAATTAATGGAAATTGCTGAAATTCAATAGGCTTCTTTGTTTTACTAATTTAAATGATGCATATAAATTTCATACAGATCGGTTGATAACTTTTGTCGTTAGAGCGTTCACAAGGTGCAACAAAGTGAAACAAGGGCCATAAATTAAATTGGCTTCTTCATCTCACTAATGCAAACAACATATATCAATTTCAAAACAATCGGTTGATAAATGTAGTATGTAGAGTGAAATTGTGTACGACGGACGGACGGGGGCGACGGCAATATACGACCACATTTCCATGTGGACGTATAAAAATATGTAAAGGATAGGTAAAATGTCTATTTAGAAAAGACATGCAGTGATGATTTTAAACTTTAGCATTTACTGGCAGTCAATACAACATGCATGTTATTACATTCTCTGACATTAACAAACAACCTTTTAATTATATACAATCTCTGGTATAAAAATAACCCCTCTTATACAATCTTTTGTATACAAATAACCTCTCATATACATACAACCACAGCAATAAATATGTCATAATTAGTAAATAATAATCTCTAAAGAAATAATAACAAACATCTAATAATAAAAAAATAAACATCTGTTAAAAAAAAAATACCTAGATATATAAATATGTCATGGAATATTTTCAGTCTTATAGTAACTAGTATACCATAAGCTTTCTAAAAAAATAAATGTTGGTACTCTATTTAATTTTAAATTTCATTTAATACTATTGATCACACCATTCAGTCAGATATTTTAGCACTTTATCATGCTTTCTTTTTTTATATATATATTTCATTTATTCACTATAAATAATATTCTTTATTCTTGCTTTTTGTTTTACTCTCATTAAGTACAGGTTTTGAAATAAATAAATGCAACATAAACATAAAGCTTTATATAGTCGTAAAAACACTTTGAATATGAAATCAAGTTTGGATTGTTTTTGAGTATAAAACTAAAAGAGGATTTCTCACCGTTATAATATCAGATACATGTAGAAACATAAACCCTATTATTACCAGGATTAAGGACTGTATGCCCAGCTCTTACTTTAAGTAAAGTCTAGAGATTTTGATTTTCCCAATATAAACACTTCGTTGGTTCTAAATGTTAACATTATTGAAGGATATATCTACACTACAGGCAAATAATCCATTACCAACAAACTATAGGAGTGACATTAGGCCACTCTGTTTTGTTTTGTATAAACTAAACATTGTAATGGGTGAATGTTTTAATAAATAACGCAATGAAGGGAGACTACGATGGTCACACGGTCAGTGCACTGGACTCTTAAATCAGAATGTGCTTGGTTCAAAATTGATCCGAGCATGGGCTACAAACAAATTTAAGGATTTTTCAAACCCAGTTCTTACTTGAGGTAGCAATTGTGGGGCAGACATTGGCATACTTGTAAAAGAACCCTTGATGGTTGAAATTTCATGAAAAGTAGACGGTAAAGCTGCTGTCCCGGTCAAATACACCTACCTAGAATGTAATGTCACACACGACCACAGAAAATAAATGAACCATCTTAGTCTCAAAACGACCCAAATAATGTGTTGATGAGATTGTCGACAAATATTCCTTGGTATGTTCAGACCTTTATAATGCAATCAGAATCTGCTACAATTCTGTACTCATTTGACTATTTCTATCTTTAAATCTAGGTTTATAAGTTTCAGACACAGTTTGAGGTAATGGCTGATTATTTGTCTCTGGAAGAAGCATTATCAAAAAACAACCAATGATCGAAGCACTGGAAAATATCACCACTGGAAGTATTGGTATCCTTTTAGACTGAAAATGGAGAGAAATTAAAGATAAAAAGACGTTCAGATGGCGCGAAAAACTGAGGTACACCTATGTTTGTTGGCATGCGCCATAGACGTAAAAGAATCCATGACGGTTGGAATTCAAGAAAAGTAGGCAGACAAGCTGCTGTCCAAGCAAACTTTTTGTTATAGCACACAGCAAGACATAAGCCGTTTCCACTAGTCCAGTTGGTGCAGACACGTCGGATGTTAAACCCCATTTTATATCATTTCCTATATAGTCTTGTAAGGTCAGAGAATATTTATCAAGGTAAAATTTCTATACTTACAGCATACATTATAAATGGAGCACAAATTGAACCAAGATTCTCGAAGCCAGATGCAATCCCCATGGCCAAATTTCTGTAAATATACAAAAACATTAAATCAAGTTTCAAGAAACTATCTCATTTTTTCAAAACCATGTTTAGAATAGTAAGACTTTGCCATCAAAAATATATCCAATCTTTCTTATGTACACTGCAAAGGGTAAACTGTGACTTATATAGATGGAAATTAATTGCTGAACCAGTGTTTGACGATAGATTGTCACTATCAACAATAACCAACATCTTATTAGTTCTGTACATTGGTTACCTATGGAAGCTAGGATAAGCTCATTTTTGACTCTGCCCTTATGTACATGAGAGAGAGAGAGAGAGAGAGAGAGATGCCCTTATGTACATGAGAGAGAGACAGAGAGCAATGGGGTTTAACCCACTCCACACACAACTATGTCATTTCAGCAATAACACATGGTTCAATTTTATTTCAATAATTCACTTGCACGTAGGGGTTGTAAGGTGTGGGAGAAAACCCACGAGGTTGGACCTTGTCACGTACAAGCTGTGAATCAAAACCAAGCCACCTATCTCTTTGGCAGACCTTTTGAGCTAGCGCACACTTTAAACTATTCAGCCACCCAACCCCCCTCTATGTACATGAAAGAACACAATTATGTCTGTAGATAGTCTAAACCCAGCCTTCCATGATCTATAGAATGAACATAATTACTGTGTGTTATAAAATGTAAAAAACTCTATGGGAAAACATTCACTACCAGTTCACTGTGTGAACACCTGGGATCATCTTCCATGAAAAATGGAACATTCACTGGTTTTAAGACAACACTGTAAACTTATCCTTTTATTAAATATCTGTGTTGGAACACTATGAACTTTTATTAAATCACTTACAAATGACTTTTGGACATAAAATAGCTGTATAGAAGATAATTGATTATCATCATTATCTTTATATATCACAAGACTTTATATATCTCAAACAATGCTACTTATTCTTACCTGACAACAGTAGGAAATATTTCAGCTGAATAAAGATATACAGTTGAATAGGATCCAGTTATAGCAAATTTACTGATCATAAAAAATGTTATCTTTAACCATATTAGACTTGTACCATTATCTAGAGAAAAAAAAAAACGGGTGGTTTATAACATAACTGTCTGGAACAGATAAAGGAATTTTATGGCCGTAAATTAAACACTACATTAGGCCAAAAACCCACAAAAAAAATTAAATGATTATCAAATCTTTAAGAAGCCAGTGTTCAATCGAATATATTGAGATGTTTTGTTGTTTGTTTTGTTTTTGTTTTTGGGTTTTTTGGAGGGGGGGGGGGGGGGAGAGGACCTTCTCCCACTGAGGTTATGAGCAACATATTCCCTCCTGAATATCTAGTGTTATAACCTAATCAGTGTATATATATACACAATGTTTAAATTATAAAGTGGTGTTTACATAGTAATCAGTTTTAATATGACACTTGCTTAAAATTCATTATATCTTGACATTAATATAAATACCACTGTGCGTTATCTCCAAATTAAAACTATACATGTATATTGTATACCTGTTGAGACTGGACAGACTGCACCACCAATAGTTGAAATACCACATAATAACAAAAATGCCATTAGAGGTATTCTCCTTCCAATTCTACATTCAAGGTAAAAAAAACATTGTTTAAAATGTGTGTATAATCTAATTATGTTGTCACTTATAAACTACAATTCTGTTATTCAATTCACCTATATAAGACCTGTATCAAATTCATAGATTTCATGAAACTGGAACATATACAGAGGAATAAATCTGAATTCTGAATTTTGATAGGGTTCCTCCTTTGGCTCAAATGAATAATCCCAACATGTTTTAAACACTTTCATCAAGAAACAACCTTTGAAGAACTCTTGACTTGTATAGCATTTACAAAATTGCAGAATTGTGTCTGGACAAAGGTGACAACCATATTCATCCATATTAAATGAGGGGTACAAGGAAAAAATTAATGTGAAATCAGAGTATGGTAACATGTTTACCTGGTTATAACAAACATACAGATTATTTGTGCTGGGATTTCTACAAGTCCACTGAGGAATAGATTCAGATAAATATTACCATGTAAAGATGGCATACTAAATGATATACCCATATAAACTAGACTGTTGACGATGCTAAAATATAAAAAACAAAACAATTAAGACCATTCTGGTAAGGTACCAATTCCGATGTACTGGAAGAATTTTACATGACATTATCAGTGCTGCAGGATGGAGGGCCTGGCACACAGTAGCACCTAGTCCTTTGGACGTTACCAAAACCAAGGTCGCATATATACCATTGGTAGCACAGTTGGAAATTACAATAAGAGTATGTTGGGGTTCCTAGCATATTGCATTGTGTAACCCTCTCTGCATTTCAGAAAAGAAAGATGTTAAAACATTATTTTATTCCTTGAGAATGCATAGTCAAAATGCCTAATTCAATATATTGTCCTATGAAAAGCAAGCCCTCCATCCAATTATTGTAAATGACCGAAAACGCAGGTTGGCGTTTTCAAAACACCCATATTCAAAACAGGTAAGCTGTTATCAATTTCACTTTATACTTACTATAAATATATTATAACTATGGTGTATAATCGTATTTTTTTGGTACGAAACAACCGTAAAATAGACTTTATTACACTTTCATCCCCCTTCTCCTCTTCCTCCTCAGGAATCATTTGAACTATCTCTTTAAAAGGGTTCCGGTGCAAATGTTTCTGATGAGTTATTTTATTAATTTTCATGGCCCAGTCTATAACAGCATTAGCCTGTTGATGGTTATTAGTAGCCATCAACCATGGTATAGATTCCGGTATAAAACTACAAGAATAAATTGTGTAGAAAACTAAATTATGAAAATAGGACAAAATGTCTTACTTATTTATAGAATTATTAAAAGCCTGTCTCACAAGAATTATTTTGTTTAAAAGCTTAAGAGTGTCTTGGGAAACATTTACTGCAGTACTATTAATATTTCCATAATTCTTTCAACATGTAAACCATTCTTTTAAAAGATGTTAATGTCAAATTTACTATAATTTTGGCCATTCTTAAATGTTCTTAGAAATTTATTATTGCAAAAGTATACGATAATCAAAAGGGGATCAGTTTTAAACATGCTACAATAAAACCTTGCAATATGGCACGTTAACAGGGCTAAACCTCTTTGATTTACCTACAAATAAAGTATTGAATTGGGTTGTTTTAATGTGTCAATTTCAATTAGCTCTATACATTTAAGTGAAAGTCAGCTTATTTACTGATTTTAATTTCATTTTTGGCAACTATCTTGGTAGTGGAACACAAAATGGGTTATATCCTAATATTGGCAATACAAATACAATTTTCAGTGAAGACAGATTGTCTCATTCCACAAAATCAACAAAATCCACTATTTTATTTTTGACCCAAATCAAAGAGGTTATTTTAAACATATCACCGACTAAAAACTTACAAAATATACAAGACTATCAAAAAATTGGGTACGGAAATCAGAATCTCTAAATAAGACCAATTCCTAACTAAATAACCAAATAAGGCTAGAAACATTATTCCAATTGCCCAAAATACTTGAACTGCGACAGAAGGAATTGTTCTTACTGATGCTGGGTAAGCTTCTGTTATCATAACAAATGCTGTCAGACCAATACCCTGAAAAATACAAACATCTTGACTTTGAATCATGAAGAAGATTATTTCTTTAATTCAATTACAACAACTAATCACAACACAACATTGTCACTGCCCCATCCATTTTATCATCCACAAATTCTTGTAATAATCACTCGCTATCGATTCTGGTGGTAATTCATAAAATGAGTTCAGAAATAATGTCATGATACAATTGTTGATAAATGCACAACACCTTATTGGTACTCACTCTATGATAAATTTTCAGGAATAGTTAGTATAAGATGCATTTTTGCGTAAGTAATTCTGGCATTATTGCCCCTGACTGATACGACTGTTGAACATCAATGTACATTATTATACACACACTCTTTATACAGTTCTCAGAATTTCATTAAATTTCAGGAATAGTTAACATTGGGGTAAACATTGTTATATTACTTGACTGATATGATTGTTAATAAACACACATTATAATATTTGTATTCACTCGAAAAAGTTCAATTTTTGAAAGATTTTCAGGAATAATTGCAGTTATTTTTCTTGACATTTCCAATGGTAACTTAAGAATTATTGCTTTAAACTCTTTCAACTTAGGTCCCTATCGACAATGAATTACTACCTCTGACTTGATTTCTGATTAAGTACCAATTATGCTTTGGTACTCAATCTATGAGTTCTGTTCTTGACTAATTTCTAACAAAAGTTGGATTGGGACCATCTTGTGTACACTTAAAAAAACATGGGATGAAGTCTTATTGCAGTGAGCATAAGAGAGCATGCAGGAGAGAGAATCACCTGGCAAGCTAATATTAAAGTGCACATAAGATGGTCCCGGAAACTTCAAGATATGTGTAGCCAATGGTTACTATATCCACTTTACGGCAAGTTCACGCCAATCTGGTTGAAATTAATTCTGTTATCTTCACTCAAAGTCGTAGAAATAGACCTTCCGTAAAAACGGCTTTGCCAATTATCGAAAACACTCTTAATCCCCTCAGACGCCAGTGACGTCACAGTGACCGAATGCATATTCGGAATGTTTATTCCTTAATTACCTATATACAGCCGGCGTGTGTATTCTTTAACGCCTGAAGGATTTCTTAATCCCCCTAATTAAATAAAACAATTGACTACGTAAATAATTTGTTTTGTAATTCATTTTAATTTAAGATCTAATTTAGAGTGCCTACAACTTTTAAACTTTGAAGTCTTGAACTCTTAATTAATTTTTTACAATATGGAACTTATTGGACGAACACTTTTAATATGTAAATAATATACGGGTCCAGCGATGTGGTTTTTACTGCGAGCACTTCGCTTTTCTACATAAAGTGTAGTGTCGTTAATATCTGTCATTAATTAATCAATCCGACTATAAAAGTTATACAGGCATGGGTCATAAATTAATTTCAAGTTGGTGTTAACAGTGAGTGTCAGTGGGATTAAGAATGTTGATTAGGTAATTATCTTTCTTTACGCCGGCCAGATCAAAGACATCACTCAAAGTGGAACGTGTGCGTAATACCTCTCGAACGAACTAATGGTAGAATCATACACACACACATTAATTGTATAAAATAATTAAGTTTTACTAATAAGTTGTTTAAAATTACTATAGACCCAATAATTATTGCTCAACGGTGTTTTTGTAATCAAGTAGCCTCGTATTATTTGTTGATTGGCGTTTAAACAACATTTAAGTGATGGATGGATTAACGTTTTTGATACGATTAGGTTATAATGTCTAACATCGGTTATCTTCTTTATAATAAAAGTATTTTACAATTGCATCTCCTATTTTAACTTTCATTATGACAAAGTGAGAACTTTTAATTATTTTAAATCTGTTTTAAAATGACGTTTAGATATACAAGAACTTTTTATTATTTAGTGTTTTTACCTAACTTCTATTTTTTATTTAAGTAAATAACTTAATTAAATCAACCTGTCCATAATATCATGCATTTTGTATTGGACGTTAAATTTGTAATAAACAACAACAACATTGACAGTTTAATCACTCACCAAACGGCACCAGGAACTCCACGAATGATCCCATGCAATTTTCGCAGCGAAGTTTAACCTCATTTACTACACCCGTAGTACATGGAGCGGTACATGGTAATAAGATACCAAGCGTTGATTGGCAGAGAAATGAGTGTGATCTATTGTACATGTTATGCATAGTCATCGGAAAATTCCATATTCACTGTAGTTGTTCTTTATGTATAGAAATGGTTATTATTATTATATATAGCTAATAATAAATATATCGACAAATGACTGGCACCATTTGTATTTCTGTACTTAAGTTTGGGATATCAAGTATTACGGGGTTATCCAAATTACCGGTAAATGCGCTAATTTCTTGAGTCATCTTCATTTGACACGTGGCCTATTTAAACAAAGGCAGCTTAAATTGATCTACGGCATGATACAGCATTTTAAATTCACTCTAAAATATTCCAATCACAAATGTCTAATCTATACCAATGAAAGACGATAATTCGGTGATTATGATTAGGCCAGTCACGTGGTAATTGGACCGTCAATAGACGCTTGTCCAGTTGCCGTGTGTATTGATAGTGCTATATTGTACATACAGTGAGATATTGTATAGATAATGTATATCCTATGTGTAGTGCCTGTGACGTCACCAGCCAATCAACCGGATTAAGGTCGTAATTGAAAAAATGAAAAGCATTTTGGCGTGTCGGATACTTAAACGTTAACAGCGGACTTAATTTTAATCAGATTGGTGTGAACTTGCCGTAAAGTTGATATAGTAACCATGGGCTATACATACATGCAATTTAGATTTTTGATCTTACGTGGTCTTTAAGAACAATATACCTTTAAAATTGACTAAGCTGAGTGTAAGAGAAGAATATATATATATATATGCAGTTGTTATGTCAATACTATTAATTAACTTACCATGTTTAATAATCCTATAAAGAAACGTAAAATTGTAAAAATAATATAGCTCTGAACAAAGGCAACTCCAACACCTATTGCACCTTGCAGTATCAAACATACAATTAGAAGTTTCTTTCTTCCAAATCTATCCGAGAAGTAGGTGAGACTAACAGCTCCTATAGCAGTTCCTATCATATAAATTGTTGTAGATAATTCAGCCTTATAATCATCATCACAAACTAAGTTAAACTGCAAATAAAATCAAACCAGCATATAAGCTTAAACATACATAATGCAAGAGCTAAATCTGCCTATTGCAGGTCTTTCTTTAGGCCTGAAATGTTATCTAAATTATTAATTAGGCATTAATTAACCTATCCAGACCATAACCAACTCGAGATGGCATCGCTAGCCTGCGATCTCTAGTGGATTTTGAGTCGATTTACTGCATAACTTTCCTTCACATAATGTCAAAAAATATTTATAAATTTTCTTCTTCGAAAATGTGGGGAGAAATAGTTGTGGGGTTTAACATGCACTCGACAATAATCAGGTCATTTCTGCTTGATTTGTTGTACATCTGCCGAAAAATCGATTGAAAACTTTGTCTTGACAGAGAAGTTCATGGAGTGGAAATTAACGCCATCTAGTTATTATCGTACGTCGGATTGCGAAACCGCTAGTTAGAGGGTACGAAAACGAAAACGTAAACGAACATATGTTCGTTTTGGTGTTGGTTTTCGTACCGATGCGAAAAGGTCCCTAATTATAAGAAAAAACTTACTTGTGTAACAATTGTTGAATCAAATTGATCACCATACTTCCATCCATGATCACATGTCCTAGACATATTATCTCCTGTATCCGAATAGTAGGTCACAGAACAAGCTGATGCCCTTGCCAAGTAGGAATCTGAGGCATTATCAAATAAACCAGAATTATTAGAATAAGGAATTATAAAACTGTTGTTGATATTTCCAGATGTTTTTGGCGGCAGATTACAGGTATGGCCTGGGTCAGCAGCGATAAAAACTGGTACAAAAACATGCCAGGCTCCACGTAAATAAATCAAACTCAGGCTGACAAACAACAGCGCTTGGTAACATCCACATTTTCCAAGACTTTCCAGTTTTGTATCTACATCCATTTTTTAAATCATTCAGCTGAAAGAAAAACAAAATCTGTAACAATTTGGAGAGAGAGAGAAAATGAGGTTTAACGTCCACTCGACACAAACTAGGTCATTTCGGGACTAACACACGGTTCAATTTTATTTCAATCATTCGCTTGTGCATAGTGGTCGTTAGCAGTTGGGGGAAACCGGAGGACCTGGTCCCGGAGAAAACCCATGAGGTTGGACAGGCGACCCTACTCCTTGTCACGTAAAACCGGTGAATCAAACCACGCCAGTTGACTCAATGACAGAACGTATGATACAGCGCGCACATGCTAATCATTCGGCCACCCAACCCCCGTAACATTTTGGTAACAGAACCTACACACAGAAATAACAAGAAAACTCAGTCATTAACATTCTATGCTCTTGTACATGTTTTGGAAGGTACAGGCAATCTCTGTGTTATTGGTAAAATACAACCAAATACTATTGTACATGTTATAAGATGCATAGCCAATAGCATTACGCATACCAATTATGAACAAGCCAACAGTGAGGCTGATGTCCCCCGCTGAAATCCCGAAATAAATAGATGACATATATTAATTAATTGCATGTTTATCTTTTTCAAAAGTATCCAGCAATCAAACTGATTATTAAGTATACATTAAGTTTCATCACTCTCTATCAGATAGAATCAAAATAAACAAGGCATTGACCTAATAAACACATACACCAAGTTTGAACATTCTAGCTCAATTAAAAGTTATCGTGTCCCAAAGCATCAACCAATCAAATTGCTTATCTCTGCTTACCCTAAGCGGAAAATGCTCATCTTCGAACTCCATCAAGGCATTGACCTAATCAACACATACACCAAGTTTGAACATTCTAGCCCAATTAGGAAGAGAGTTATCGTGTCCCAAAGCATCAACCAATCAAATTGCTTATCTCTGCTTACCCTAAGCGGAAAATGCTCATCTTCGAACTCCATCAAGGCATTCACATAATAAACACCTACACCAAGTTTGAACATTCTAGCTCAATTAGGAGAGTTATTGTGTCCCAAAAAGTGTGACGGACAGACAGACGGACAGACAGACGGACGAACCCATTTTAATAGTCCCCTGCTTTCTTCGAAAGGCGGGGGACAAATATGAAATGGGGTTTAACGTCCTACTGTTCTGCACTGACTGGGCTAACAACATACAGTGTGCTATGAGTGAAATTTTGTCCAGACAGCGGCACTATGGCCTACCCTTATTTTGAATTCCAACTGTCACGGTTTCTTTTACGTGCACACTAAGTGTACATAAGACCTCATTTATTTGTCCCATCTAAACGACTATACGTTGTTAAGGGGATAAAACCGCCAGAAAATCATGATAAACTGCCTTGGTCAACACAAGGATTGCACACAAGACCTTCAGGTTAGCAATTCAATATCTACTCACTGAGCCACCGTGGCTCCAATCCCAATTATGATACCAGGTTATAGTTGACATACAGTAGATTAAAATGAAATGGGGTTTAACGTCCTACTATTCTGCCCCGATTGTACACGGGACCTCGGCTTTTCATCCCATTTGAATGACTAGACAGTTGTCCTTGTTAGGCCCTCCATCCTGCACCACTGACACAGGGAAACCATGCCGTAAAACCGGTAGATTGAAGTCAGTTAAAAATATACCAACACCGTGTTTCACAATTATGATACAAGCTTATAATGAACGTAAGTACAAACTACTACCACCAGTTTTTTAGATTTACACTTTCAAAAGATTGAAAACAGTTCTAGTAGTATGAATGATGCAAGTTTGAAACAAAATTCCAGCATGTTCCAGGTAGATATTTTAAATGGTTTCTGAGATATGTGCTGCAGAAAAATAATTACATACTAAACATTAAATTATTCAACTGAGAATAGTTTGATAAGTGTACAATGTTTTATGAGATATGTTCCAGAATTAATATTTGTCTACCAAAAACTAACTAAATTTTGTTTCCATGACAACACAGTTGAATAATGTATTTTGAACAGTTAATGAGATATGCTTTGCAACTAAATCAAATTGGTTTTGGTTGGAAAAACAAAAATTATCATATCTGAGGAACATCTAATTGGCAAAAGGCATAAGTACTGTTGATGTGTGTTCACGAATCACAGTTTCATAAAGATACCTAGAATGGTTTATGAGATTTACTCTGGAAATGAAATCTAGAAAAACGGAGGAATTCAGTCCATTTCTTTGTTCGACTTGTTTTCAGCTTGGGGCACCCATCATAGCACTATGCCATTGGCCTGTTTGGTGCAGAAAAGTATGACATTAAACCCCATTTCATTTCATTTCTATACAGATCAGATTTCTATGACTACTATAGACTCACAAATATTAGAGTAAGGGTTAGGGTTAGTTTCCGGTTTATAGTATAGCCCTTCTCTGGGTTACCTATTTAGGGTGTTTTCCAGTATTTAGCGTGTTTTCCGGTATTTAGTGTTTTTCTGGTGTTTTCCGGTATTCAGTATAACATGGTGTTTTCCAGGAGTTTTCCAGTGTTTGCCGGTAGTTTTCCGGTATAAAGTATAGCCCTTACTAAACTAGGTCAATTTTAGTTAAACTGCATAAAAATTAAACATGCTAAATATAACTGAATGTACATGTATAGGCTAGAAGTTTACTCTGTCACCTATTCACAAATCATTAATATAATATAAACATGAACTTGGAGATATCACATGCTATACCAAATTGCAACCATGACACAGGGTTTTACAGGTTATTTTCTATCAATATGATTTTGATTTTAGTTATATCTATAGTTCAAAAAAAGAAAAAGGGTAGGCCAATCAAATGAAAGTTAAGAGTGAACAACTGAGTTAATTTCATTTCTTTTTTATTGCATAATTGCCAGGTTTTCATTTTCATCCTATTATCCTGTCTTCCTGGAGATATTAGAGCAGCTGATTGCAATTTGCATTTTTCAGACAATATCTAATTTTTCACAGCTTAATCCATGCTAAAATGTAAATTAATTATTTTACTGAATGGAAATGGAAGTTTTTGGATGAATAACTTTTAGAAATCCATCTTTAAAAATATTGCCTGTATTATACAAAAGAATAAAAAACAACTTTAAGCTAAATTGAACGACAAATCTGATATTTTCCAACGCTACATACTGCTCAAAAACAAACACTCAATTTTAACACAGCTTTACCATACAAATATACTTCGATTCAACCTTGGCCTACAGCCTACTGTTTTTGGTACCATACCACCAAATATCAACTAAATTTGTTGTCGTTACTTTTTGTCCTTTAATTTTTTGCAAGGAACTTCTTTTTACCCTTTTGAAGTATAGAACTGAACAAAAAAATTGAAGAAAAGAGTTTAAAGATACATTATGGGAGATTCGATAACGAGTTGGCAGTTAATTCTCACTATAATAGTTAAAAACTAGATAATGTAAAGGCAATTTGCTGAAAATTTCATTCAAATTGATCCACTATGAACCGAGAACTAAGCAATTGAAATTTCCGCCTAGCCTCAATCATCATTACTAAAGTCAGTACAATAAACAACATAGTCTCGATTATCCATTTAATCGTTAAATTGTGAAGGAAAGTTATGCAGCAAATCGGCTCATAATCCACTAAAGATCGCGGGCTAGCGATGTCATCTAGAATTGATTATGGTCTGGATAGATTAATTAATGTCTAATTAATAATTTAGATAACATTTCAGGCCTAAAGAAAGACCTGCAATACACAGATTTAGCTCTTGCATAATGTATGTTTAAGTGAATATTCATGATATTGAGACAGAATTAAGAAGAGGTTATAGTTAGGTTGAATAGGTGATACGTTACATGTAAGTGGTTACCACTTGCACTTATATGCTGCTTCCAATTCATGGATTTTAAGACAAGAACAATAATAGTAAGTGCAGGAAAAAAGTACCACATTAAAAACAAACCCACAAGACAAACCTGTGGGCAAGACATTTTAATGTCCTACTTGATACTTAACAGCGTCTAGTGGTTCGGATGGGTAAAAAAACCGAGGCCCTAGGTACACACGTTGCACATAAAAGAATTACCCTTGACGCTGGCAGTATAGGTCTGGGCTAAATCATTTAAAGCCTTACTATGTACCGGTATGCCTACTGTTCTGCACCGACTGGGATAATGAAGAGGGAGCGGACTCACGGCACACCAACTCGGCAACTTGAACTGTACTGAGTTGACTGGCCACATCGTATTCGTAAGCAATAATGTTAATAAACAACAAAATCAAGTCACAAGTTAACAATTCTTAGTTCCGTTAGGAACGGTCTCTGAACTGTCTCTGAACGGACGATGTGACATACCAAAATCATCCTATAGTAAAGATACGCTGTTTGGCTTGACTTTCATCATTACATCACTACACTCGTGTCCTGCACGTTGCCTGGAAAAGGGCAAATATAATATTTTGATGCATGTTGATGTAAGCGACAATTATCTTACGCAACGGGCCGTTTTAAAACACATTTTTGACAAACAGCGTATGTCACTAACAGTTGATCTTTAGCTTTGCAGTGAATAAACTTAAATGTGTAGACTATAGTGAGTATACACCACTCACATAACTTTAACGTCAAGTTAACAAAGGCATTGAAAAAGTCGGTAAATTAAACCTAACAATTATTCTACCCCAAATGCCCTTAAAAAATTGGTTTTGTGAAATAGAGTTGCTTCCCCTAGACCACACCCAATACATTGTACCAGACTAGCAGATATATTTATATACCGATTTTTATCTCTGAAAATATGAAATGTGACATAAATACATGGGACGTGCTTGCAATCAGACCATAGATGCACCACCCGTACCCGAGTTCAAATTGTACCTCATAAGGATTGTTGCCATGAGTTAAAATAATCATAAACGTCCATGATATATATAGGTATAGAATATATTATATAGGAGTCAGGACACTGTCATTGGCCTACTCTTATTTAGAATTCCAACTGTCAAGGGTTCTTTTACGTGCATGTCAATGTGTAGTTCTACACAGAACCTGGGTTTTGTGTCCCATCCAAATGACTATACCTTGTCCCTTGCCAGGCCCTCCGTCCTGCACCACTGACAAGGGAGAACCTCGCCAGAAAATCCTGATAAGCTTTCTTGGCTAGAAGTGGGATCAAACACAGGACCTCCAGGTTAGTGAGCCATCTTCTGCAGCTCCCCTCATAAGAATAACAATTATAAAAATGATCTGAGTGCCAGTTAATTATGATTGTAGGCCTACGCCTGTATAGCTTCTATATAAAACCAGCTATAACAGAAATTTGTTATTATTAGGCTACTATTCAATGTAAAACGAACATGAAATTCTTGTAACATTAAAACCAGCTTAAACATAATGGTAACTTTATTAAATAAAAGAAAAAAAACCGAAAATCTCATAACTTTATTTTATCAAATAAACAATTCAGGATCAACATATATGTCTTTATTTTATATAAAAAATAAACGTGAAAATGTAACATTGCCAACTATGATTATAAAAAAAGCACTGTCAACTTTCGACAGTTGCTCTATTTTTGATGGGTAGGCATATTGCACTCCCAACAATTTTCACAACATCCGTTACACTGATCTTTTTGCTTCACAATCATTCACAAAAAGCTGGCAAAAAATATAAATTCAAATGCCTGTCTGTTATTCTAGATCATAAAGTAAACACAAATTGCCATCACAAGGCATGAAAAGGAGAAAAGAAACAATTGCTTTAAATAGAAAAACTACATTTTTGTGGGTGACAAACTGATGGGAAACAACCAGTATTAGCCCTTGGAGTATTCATTGGTAGATTAAGGCCCTTGGTGGCCTGGTTCATTCAAAGTGGTATAAAAATACATTTTATGTGCATCTATCATCGGCTATAGTCGGGGGTTGGATGGCTGAATGGTTAGCGTGCGCGCGCTGTATCATAAAGTCTGTCATTGAGTCTGTGGTTTCGAATCCCCGGTTGTACGTGGCAAGGAGTAGGGTCGCCTGTCCAACCTCGTGGGTTTTCTCCGGGCCTCCGGTTTCCTCCCACTGCTAAAAACCCCTACGCTCAAGCGAATTATGTAAATAAAATTAAACCATATGTTAGTCCCGCAATGATCTAGTTTGTGTCGAGTGGACGTTGAACCCCATTTCTCTCTCTCTCTCTCTCTCGACTATAGTCATCAGTGTGCAACTTTGTGTAAGTTTGGCATTCAAAAACTTGCTGAATACCTTTATTTGATCATAAAGAATGAACGATTATGAGAATGTTGAATCTCAGAGTCTGGAATGTTGTTGCTTTATTTCAAAAGAAAACTGTAGGCCTATACACACACTGTTATATCAACCAAGCTTGAACATATTAATGTATAAACACAGTGTTAGATTTGTTGATTTTTCTGTAGATTTCACCTTAAATGATTTTATTAAATGCCAGTATACAAATGAAATGAAATGAGGATTGACATCTTACAGTTCTGTGCCAACCAGCCTATTAAAGATGCTAATTAGTAGTGAAAATATCATGTAAATATACTAAATCCAGTAACCACAGCAAGTGGACTTGTCACATAACAATTAGATGATGGAAAGTGGTACCAGATGTTATTTTTCGCTAACATTTTCTTTCATTAACTGGTCTCGCACCTCTGTGAGAGCAAAGCCCAATAAATTTTTTCCACACCACGTATTTTGATCCCATGCAAGCGGGTTGTCTTCCTGTAGTCCAATTCCCCATATCTGATCGTGAGGGCTGGCTTCTACTAAAATCTTTGGATAAGTACTGAACATAATTTCTTTCAATTCTTCATGTTGTGAAAACTGAAAATATTAAAATTTCATTTTAAAAAACACATTTTTAATATTTAAAACCATGAAGAATGTTCCCCAACATTATCAACGTTTGGAAATGTACATGTCACCCACATGTATTAGTATCTGTTTTCCAAAAGTATCATTAGAAAAGCAATTTAAAAATGTATATCAAATAAAAACAGTAGGTGCCACAGTGGTTCAATGTGTAAGGAAGGAGGTCTAGCAAGGAACAGTGTCTAGTCATTAGGATGAGACCTAAACCGAGGTCCTGTGTACACATAGGTGTGCACATAAGAACCCTTGAAAGTTGAAGTTTGATGAAGAGTAGGCGGATGGCACACTGTATGAGAGAGAGAGAGAGAAAATAAAATGGGGTTTAACGTCCACTCGACACAAACTAGGTCATTTCGGGACTAACACACGGTTGATTTTTATTTCAATAATTCGCTTGCGCGTAGGGGTCTTTAGCAGTGGGAGGAAACCGGAGGACCCGGAGAAAACCCACGAGGTTGGACAGGCGACCCTACTCCTTGTCACGTACAACCGGGGAATCTAAACCCCACCAGTTGACTCAATGACAGACCGTATGATATAGCGCGCGTGCTAACCATTCGGCCATCCAACCCCCCGCACACTGTATGATATATGCACATTTTCATGAACTCGATGCAGTAAACCCCATATTTCATTTTAAAAAGAGTAGACACTAGTGCTTTCTGTTCAAACAGGTGTGGCGGAACAATAATGGTGATGACAATGGACGTCCACACCACAGGGAAGAGGTCGTTCAAAAGAAACTGTTTTATTTGGAACAGTATTTTAAAAATAAAAACTTACTTTAGCCAAGTTACCACGTTTAACTATATCCACACAATTCTCATTCCACAGTTTGCCATCAAAATTCTTCACTTTTCTTCCGAGGTCTTTTTGAGTTTTGGGATCTTTCGTTTTCATAATCTTGTCAGCTGACTCACTATCTTTGAAAAGAACTGAAAGCATATATTGTACATTACAAATTGTCCAAAACGGAAATGTCAGTTGGTCATTCTTGTAATACATGTTTATGGCGAAGCAAATAGTGCAACTTTATGGTTATGCTAATATTTTCCAATATAAAGTGACTGTGGGTGGAGCGTAGGGGTAGAGACCCTCTCTCAAAAAAAAACCCCACAAAATAAAGTCAAAATATCACCCACTTGAGAATTATCATAGCCAACAAATGTCTGTTGTACTTTAGCTTACTCATCAATTTGACCCCTTATCATAGGCATACTAAATCTGGCTAAACAATTTTTTTCAGGCACTCATCAAATTTTTCAGGTAGTGGCTAAATGATGAAAAATTTTGTACACAGATCGATTTCGATTCAGATTGTTGTGGTATTACATGTTTAATTTCACTAGAATGGAGTGTATATATACGATAATTATTAATTAGATGTGATCAATAATACACAATGTAAACATTTTAGTTCTGAGCGAATTTCACTAATTGTTGATCAGGAGCAATCTGGTAAAGTTGTGTACATTTAGGATCAATTTTGGGGCGCTGCCGCCATATTTTTCAGGCAAAAATGATACAGGCCCCCAAGGAAAATCGGCACTTACGCCTATGACCCTTATGCAATGTTAAGATAATCAAATTTTGTATTTGATAAAAATAGACAAACTCATCCAACCATTCAGCTCAAATTTAATACCAAATTCACTGACAGTTGCCTACTGAATGGAGCCAAAATTTACTTGGTTATTGAGTATGCCCCCAATCCCCTAGCAAACTCACACCTTTGGTGCTCACTTCATGTCTTTCAATCATTAAAACTGATGTACATCCCTCTTCCCTTCCCCTGTATAAGTCATATAGAAGCTTGGCTATAACCTTCAGACTCCAGGAGAGAGGAAGTTGGTTGATCTTGGTGGGAATTGGTTTTGATTTTGACCTCCTCTTATAGGCTGCCAAGAACTCATTTAAATTAAAAAGGCGATTTTGCTCTTCTATTCTCAACCTTACCTGCTTTCTGGTGCATCATATATTGTTCTGCAGAGCTGTAGTAAATATTGTCGACACTAAATCGTGCTGGATACCACTGACTAAATACTGAGTGACTTTGCCAAAAGAAATGGAATTTACCTTTCCCACTACCATTACTTAAAACCTTAGGCGTGGATGTTGCCATTATAGAATGATGATTCTTTAACAGCTCGAGATCAAATATATTCCGGTAACATGTATTAGCCTGTAATAATCAATTTATAGACCAACGTTATTTATGGCTACCAACGTATGACAAAATCCTTTCACAATCGCTTGCAATAAACTATAATAAAGGATTTGGCTTCTGAAATAGAAATGTTTCATTGTGTATGCGTAATGTATATCCTATATCTACTATTTTTAGAGCACGTCATTGATAGAGAATCGTCCATTGACGGTATCTGCAAATATTCAATAATCTTTAAGCTCCTTATACTGGAATAAATTTTGATTGGCTTCAAACCTCATATCCGTGTCTTACTTGAAACACGGTTGAGAGATAAGGTTTGTTATCTATACTTGACCTAGTTTATGGGTACATATATTGGCTATCTACTGGGCTTATTTATTTTCCTTGCCTTCGCATTAACCGTAATGAATGAATGAATTAGGGTTTCACGTTCTACTTTTCTGCCCAAATGAATGAATGGATTAAAAATAAAATCACGTATTTTGTAGAATAATGATCGCAAAATATACCGCTCTTCAAAAATGATATGGAGTAGTAGTTAAGTAATTATTTCCAGCATCCGCATTTTATATCAATATTGTCTTCTAACCGTTGTGTTGCAATTTTCGTTGACTTTTATTACAGAATCGAAATGGGTGTTTGAATTTGCATTTTCTACCAGGTTTCATTGGATATTCGTGATTTGACGCGAAAAAACAAGGGTCCGTTAACCTGGCATACAAAAAGAATTATATTGTGACAGTCAAAACCCATTCAATGTTTTCTGACAATTTGTACAGGAAGATGTTTGGATGTTTTGAATAATTTAAAGTTTATAGCCAAATAAGGGCATTTTTGCAGAAATTTACAGATATAAGCTGGTTTTATTATTTTATTTTTTATGCAATACGACAATGAGGTGTTTATATCAATGAAATTTGATTCTGTACATCCTATAAATTTATTAAAAAAATTGTTGTCGTTTAGAGCCAGAATTTTTAAAATGCACAGCCGATCATGGCATTAACAAAATGCTGTTTGACTCGAAATTGAGTCCATAAAGATGTTTGAAAAAGTAAAATACTCAATTAGACAACATTCCACAGATTGTTTTCTTTTTGTGTCAAGATGGGCTGCATAGGGAAATTTTGCCTGTACAGCAGTGCTTCGATCTAATATTTCAAATGCCAACAGTTTTCCGCCCCATCTTTACGTCTAGATGCTGTTTCTTGGCAGGTCCTGCATACTGCACCTCTGACCAGGGGAAACCTAGCCAGAACTGTACTAGAACCCAATGCCTTATTCGCTGAGCCACTTTAGCTTCCTAATTTTCCATGAATTATATGGGAATTATCCAAGAAATGTCATATAACGTGTATGTAATTGTTCTGTTTATGTACAGAATTTTGAACAAATTCAAACATTAGTGAATGAATTGTGAAATGATAGGCATTAAATGGGTATGATTGAATTTCAATTGGAAATTTAATTCATAGTGGTTTAACCTCATCCTTTGATGAATCAACTGAGTTAATGAAGACAGGCATATTCTTGGTCAAATTCCAATAGTAAATAGGAATCTTAAAGTACATTCCAACGAGTATACAGTTGACCTCAGTTTTTCCTCCCTACCAAATGACTAGACACTTTTTTTCCTTGCCAGTTTCTCTGCTCCTCTCATAAGCATACAGCTCCCTAAATATTTTGCTTGGATTTATTGACTAAAAAAACAAATTTGTGATAGAAAATGGCTCATTTTGCCCGAAAACCATCACTATCTCTGTACACATTTGGTAAGGCTACATCACCAATCCCTCCCCCCCTATACTATGGCTGACATGTCAATCGCTGAAGACAACTCTCCAAAACTGTATCAGAGAAAGATACCTCACCAGACTATAGACAAACACCCACAAACCCAGTAGCTAAGTTGTCCGAGCAGTTCAGGCCTGTAATTAGGGGGGTCACAGGCTCCCCCCCCCCATGAAAACAATAGATATATATTGTCCGTCAATTTTACAGCACCCCTGAAAATACTTCCTGCCCCCTCGTTGCTCTGAGCTAGTTACGGCCCTGGAGCAGTTATACGCTAATATCAAACAGATCAGATCATAATTGAAGCCTCATAGGTACTAACATGATTTAGTAACAAAGGGGAATAACCCTATCAGTTATCAATATCGAAGAGAGAAAAATGGGGTTTAAAACTATGTCATTTCGGGACTAACATGATTCAATTTTTAATTCAATATTTCACTTGCACAGTCTTTAACAGTGGAAGGAAATCAGAGGACCCAGAGGAAACCCACGAGATTGGACAGGTGACCCTACTTCTCATCACGTACAACCGGGGGATCGAAACAACACCAGATGACTCTGTAACAGACCTTATGATACAACGGCCATCCAACCCCCCTTATCAATAGCAGTGTTCCTTTCAATATCATAGATAACCAATATAAAATTCAGAAAGATAGGTTAATAATTACAGCAAATAAAGTGCTTACATATGGACAGATGAAGTTGGAATATAATTCTGATCACATTAAAATGTGGGCGTTTAAAAACAACACTTTATGTAAATGATTTTACAACCTTACGTTTTAATGATATAAGTTACAATACAATAATAAAGAAATTAATGAGCAAAAAAAAATGAGATACAATTAAAAGTACACAACTATCATTTCTTTAAAAATTGACATGGATTTCACTTGCCTATTAATGAAAACCCTAAAACAGTATTCATAAAAATGACAAGTCAGTTAATTATATTATAATTGTAAAGTGTGACACTGGCACATATTTTGATTCAAATAATTCTAAAAATCATCAAAATCCATTCTTTTTGAAAATTGACAATACACCATGTTTGTGTTTGAAGCTAACAGATAAGTTAACTTCCAAACTATTGCACCTTAAATTCACAAAACTAAGTTCTAAAACTAACTAAAAAGTTAATCTCAGTTTGGCAATAAAAAGAACACAAAAACCCAATGAAAATAAAAATAAAAGATATAATGTACCCCTGCTGGCGGAGGATATCCAAGCTACATGCAGGAGACTAGGTTTATATTATGTATATGGACATAAAAGACACAGGCTGAAGGGCTTATACAGTATCTTAGTATTGCCTCAATGAAATACAAAATGTTCACTAGAGACTTCACTGTTCTATAATATAGCACATCCACCTTTTTCCTTGAATGGGTTATCACTAGGCTTGGGGAATCCTTTAATCAAGACATCTTCTTCTGCCCAATTATCACAATATTTGACCAAATCTTCAATACATTGTGAAACTCGCATTCTTGTGATCTGTGCCTCACATCTTAACTGTTCAATCAAACGCCTCTGCTGCTGAAGACCCTCCTGTAGTTTATTCATTGTGGATCTGAAATGATAGTGGAAAAACACAAGTTAGAATTTTGAAACAGATTATCGATATAGAATTATACAAGTATATGTAATGTAATTAGTCTCATCATACAGATAGCAATTCCACATATACATGTAGGTGTATGCATGCATTATCAAGATCTCCACATATCTATCTTGACTATCTGAATAAAAGTGTGCTGCCAATATTATTATTCAAACATACACTTTATCCTGATCCTCTTTTGATATGACTTCCACATTACTTTTTGGTTGTTGTGGATGTTTACGTGCATGAAATCCATTAGATAACTTGTCTGTGTTGGACATCTTTCTTTGTCCTCTTAGTTATAAATGTCACTGAAGCCTATTTTTTTTACTATTTAGTTTTGCTAGAAATAATGAGTCACTGAAGGTTAACACACTCATTTCTATTTTTACAGGCCTTTGCATTTTATCTCTTTTTTATGCCCTTTTATCATCAAAAAAAATCAACCAAACATAGATATTGTAGCCCAAGGTCTAAAATATTGTATCCCATCCGCTTCAGTTAGATACACTTATTCAATATGTAATCAATATTCTAGAATCTGTTACTGTTAGGGCAAATTCCAGCTTAGATATATGTTTTATTCTGAAGATTTCTATTGGTAGGTATACACTTCTTTCTATACCTCAAGTAGTATTTATTAAAATATTTAATAAAAGTCAAATGTGGGAGTTACAAGGACACAACGTGATTGAAAAGAAAAATACATGTATATTGCTGTACGTGTTTCGTATTTATTCCAACCATTGCCAATCCAGTAATCGCCCTACCAAGTAGCTCTGTTGCATTTTTTATAATCAAGTCTAAAGAGAAATCTTAATTGATAGGAATACATTAGGATTAATTGATAATGTATATCTTAAAGATGCATTATGTAAGCGTACATTCTGTATATTGTAGGTCTTTATTTTGGCTTCAATTTAGTTCAAATGTCATAAAAACTATAATTAAGACATTTATTCACATGACAAGCCTATAATCAACCCTCTAGACCATCACATGGGGTTGATTTAAATGTATTAAACCATGGTTGCCATTTAAAGATACATTAGTTAAAAGTTTATTAAAGAGTTGGCCATTCTTGCTATAATAATTCAAAAATAGATGATAAAAGAAAATTGCAATCAAATTACTTTACTCTGAACGAAATTGTCACTGTTGGAGGTTTGGACTAGAAATAAGCATTAAACGTCTCCGAGAATTGCCGATCATTTCATTGACAGACGATAGCTCCGCCCAAATATTCTCAATTATTAAGTAACATTCTCAATGGCTATGCTCGATTGGCGCACCTCCAGTAGTTATGTCGGTGACTAACACTGTAACAGTAAACTTCAGCTTGATCAGTCATTTATTGATTTAATTATAAAATGGACGACTGTTTAAATCCAAGCTGCAGCCAAGGGTCTACAGAGTTGGTTTTGAGCTTGTCATGTAAATACATGTAAAGGTCTAATTAATAATTTCTGTAACATATGAAGCCTAAAGAACGACTTGCAATTGGCAGATTTAACTCTTAACTAATGTATCTTTAATGATTTAATTTAAAAATGGTGAATAGAGACCAACTCTCGAATAGAATAACAAGTTCCATCGCTATTAACAATCTGTGCCACATCTTGTCCAAATTTCAAACAGTGATAACTGTGTTCAGAATAAAGTAATTTGAATGAAATTTTCAATATTCGTTTTGCATTTATAATCTATTTATGAACTATTATATTATAAGCACACTGGTATAAAACCTTAAATCGTTCCTGTCCTGTTTAGGTCAGTTGATCGGGATATTAACTGGTCAGTGAATTTCATGTAGAACCCCATATGTTTAAAATCGTAGGGCCTTCAGAATTCTATATTGCTCAGTTTAAATGTATTTCGCATCAAGATTGACCTTTCCTTCTGTCCACTGCCACCATGAACCTGGGGTTTATAGTATTCAATTATAACAAATTATTCGATATTCAAGTATTTCTATTACAACTCGAAGTGAATATAAATGTTGATGTGTATATAAACGATATTGACAAGGAAAATACCGCCGTCTGCTTGTATTTCACGTTGACCTAAATAACGCCCATTCCATATTGTACACTGAATCTAGAGTTGATACTTCATAATAAATCAAGTAAACTGTTCAATTCATTCATACATTTTACATCTGAATCCAGAAAAATTGTTTGATTAACGACAGAATATCAACAAGAATGCATAGTTTATAAGAAACAAAAATGATCACAAGTAGAAATATTTTTCTCCGCAATAGAAACAACCAACTTCCGCCATAATATTTAGACCTTTTCGGTCTAGCGTCTTATTTGCAAAGCTCACATGCCATTTTTTTCGTTTACTGCACTGGTGGTAAAATTCCTATACCTAAATTATCCGAATAAATACTCAGAAAAAGTCTTTTACCTCTCCTCTGGAATTTAGCAATGCACCTCGCAAATTTATCTACTCCGACTGATTTCAAAGATGGCGGACCTGCTGACATCTGCCGTAAATCTCGTGTTCTTTGTTCGGTTTCTACGGTAACCAAAGTAATCGATAACCCTTGGCTGATAATGAAGCGGATTTATCTAAAAACCGTAATTAACAAGAACACTATTAATTAAGGATATAAATCATGATATGTATATGATATATTTTAGCCCAAAAATAAATTGATGTAAAAAAAAAACTGATATTGTTTAGGCATATATGTCTATTTTGCTTTATTCACCACTGTTTTATTTCTAATTTCATTCAAATTCAGTTAAGACCAGAAGAAAATGGTTATCACGTTAAATGTAAAATGTATTTATGTTTGGCATTATTTTATTTTATTTTTCAGAACCATGCATCAAGGTGAAATATGACATTAAGGGCCCCTGCCAAATTTAAAGAGCCAAAAATACTTTAGAGGTATTCTCCTTTGGTTAAAATAAGCGTTGTTTGGGGTGTGCAAATGAGATTGTATCCAAATTATTTTTTGCGGAAAATGAGATATCAAACCCTGTAGGCCTACCGTAACACAGGTTAATTTTTGACAAATGTATGTTATTGGCATTGCTGACTTTGCCAAAGTTGAGGGAAGAACCAAAGCTTTAAGAGAGAGAGAGAGAGAGAAATGGGGATTAACGTCCACTCGACACAAACTAGGTCATTTCGGGACTAACATATGGTTTAATTTTATTTCAATAATTCGCTTGCGCGTAGGGGTCTTTAGCAGTGGGAGGAAACCGGAGGACCCGGAGAAAACCCACGAGGTTGGACAGACGACCCTACTCCTTGTCACGTACAACCGGGGATTCGAAACCACGCCAGTCGACTCAATGACAGACTTTATGATACAGCGCGCGCACGCTAACCATTCAGCCATCCAACCCCCCAGCTTTAAGAGAAGTCCCCTCAATCATCTGTTGGACCCTCTAAATACAATAGATTCTGGCTAAACATTTAACAGTAGGCTAGAATTTATGTAACTCAAACAAGTTTCTATACCCATGATGGCAACAAATGACTACTTAAAAATGTAAGGGTGAAACTATACCCCTTGTACCTGTAAACTATTTTGGCCAGGTGTGTCTGCCAGTTGGTTAAATTAACATACACTGTACTATAAATGAGTCAGAAATGTTTATATGTCACACAAGCACTAATTAACTTAGTCAATGTCTACTCATATTATTAGATAATATTTTATATACTATTCAAAAAAAGTAGGGGATATTTGATTTTGGGGGCATAATACTAAAATATGCAAATGACTACGAAAAAAGTCACTATAGAACCTAACAGAAGAAACATTTCCAGTTACATGTGACGCCCAAACGCACCAATAGATACCGCATGGAATGCAGGTGATGCTTGGGATCATCATGGGGGTCCAACCCAAGATTTGCACGACTCTGACTTTGAATGTTACAGTCATTGTGGCATTGAATTCCAGGGTGGAAACATCAGTTTAATTGTTTTAGTGACCAGAAAACAAATTTTGATATGCGTCGGCTTACCCAAAATGAAAGGTTACGTGCCCTTGGCATGCTACAGATCGGCACAACACAGGCGGTTGTGGCGCGGACGATGAATGTTTCTCAGTCTGTCATAAGCAGGCTATGGTCCAGATACCGTGATACACAATCTGTACAGGACAGACCACGCTCAGGTCGACCAAGGGCGACAACTCAAGCCCAGGATCGATTTATCCGTACCTTGGCCTTGAGAAATCGTGTCATCACAGCAAATCAGATCAGCGCTCGTCTTCAAACAGACACTGGTGTGAGAGTGAGTGGCCAGACGATTCGGAATCGACTGCATAGGGGTCACCTTCGCGCCCGACGTCCTCGCGTGATCCCTTGTTTGAGAGATCATCACATTCAGGCAAGACGTCGTTGGTGTAGGGATCGTCAACACTGGGATAATCGACGCTGGAGCAATGTGATGTTTTCAGATGAGTCAAGGTTCACTGTTGATTTTTTGGACAGACGTAGGAGGGTGTGGCGTCGTCGAAACGAGCGCTTCCAAGACGTTAACGTCATCAGACATGATCGATTTGGGGGTGGTTCTGTTATGGTGTGGGGAGGCATCACTGTTGCTGGAAGAACGGCTTTACATGTTGTTGCAGGGCGTGTTACAGGCCAGTACTACCGGGACAACATCTTGGCAGTCCATGTTGTGCCGTTCGCACGACGTCATGGCCGCCGTTTCATCTTCCAGGATGACAACGCAAGATGTCACAGGGCCAGGATCGTTACAGGTTACCTCCAACAACAGAACATCACCACATTACCTTGGCCAGCACTGAGTCCCGACCTCTCCCCCATCGAGCATGTCTGGGACATGCTTGGACAGAGGTTACGTCAACGTCAACAACGTCCTGCCAATGTCCAAGAACTTGCTGCTGCGTTGCAACAGGAATGGGACAATCTGGACCAAAATGACCTTAGACGTCTCATTAGGAGTATGCCACGTCGGATCAATGCTTGTTTGGCAAACAGAGGAGGATTTACCCGTTACTGACTTGGTTGTGATGCTGTGGTAACTTTGCTGTTTGACCCCGGGTATCATTTTACCCTTATAATGGTCAGTCAGTGCCTTACTTAGTCTAACGATCATTTGGAATAAATCAATGAATGTGAACTTCATTTCATTTTGTCATTTGTTTCTTCGTCAGTTTCATTAGGTGACTTTAATAACACTTAAAAATCAAATATCCCCTACTTTTTTGGAATAGTATATGATTGATCTTTTTCATGGCAGATACTATTTCTTGTGAATAACTCTCAAATACTAATATCTGTATTTGAGAGAGCAGAATTAGTGGAGGAGGCAGACTCTGGACACTAACAATATGGCTAGAGAGAGAGAGAGAAATGGGGTTTATCGTCCACTTGACACAAACTAGGCCATTTCGGGACTAACATATGGTTTAATTTTATTTCAATAATTTGCTTGCGCGTAATTGTCTTTAGCAGTGGGAGGACCCGGAGAAAACCCACGAGGTTGGACAGGCAACCTTACTCCTTGTCACGTACAACCGGGGATTCAAAACCATGCCAGTTGACTCAATGACAGGCCTTATGATACAGCACGCTAACCATTTGGTCATCCAGCCCCCCCCCCATTATGACTATAACCTAATATGTATATTATGTTCCAGAATGTTGTACAAGTTGTATGTGATCTGGATACATTTGAGGGAACACTTCTATAATCTAACAAGTTTTCAAACAACTCTTACCTGAACTGGAACCCAATTTCATTGCACTAGTTTTAAATTAAATTGTTTCTCCTGACATCAAATTCAAAATGTTCCACCAGTATTGGCAGTAAGAATTTTGGGGATTGTTTTTTTCACAAAGACTTGTGCCACAATTTTTACACAGATATTGTATCCGTCAGTCAGTAAAAACTTGAAAACACTATACTGGTCACCCAAACATGTAATTAGATTTTTCTATTCAAACTTGCAGAATGAGGAATTCTATTGAAATTTATAATTGCACAATGGGATCTACAGAGTTGTTACCTTTTCCACCAAACTTTTCGGTCATTTTTTTTTTCTCTTTGCGTGCGCAGGAGGGTGGGGGGGATAGATTTATTTTCAAAACTGCTGGGAATTGTACGGCTGGTCAGGAGGAACCCTATCAAAATTCAGAGTTATTATTCTGTCAGTGAACATATATCTATTCATGCTTTAGGTTGTTGTAAAGACCGCTTCAGTCCCAGTCAAAAGATGCTTCATTATATTGCAAGATTTGGACCAATGCCGTTTCAAAGTTTGGGTTAAATTGACAAGAAGTCTCTTTTGATCAAAACAGTATTTTACATCAACTGTTCTTGTTCTCAAATTATATTTGCATTTAAAAACTGTGCAATGATGTGATCCATGTCGACAGTCCTAAAAGTAATATTCTCAACTCATTTGTTGCAGTGAAAGAGAATATCTAAGAGATCACCAGTATATTAGTCAAATTAAAAAAGTGGTCAATATTTGCATTGTAAGACTATAATAAAGTGAACACCTCTGGCTCTCTTCTACTACCTAAACCGGAGTTGTGTTACTACATAACATTACAAACACAGCATGCAGAATCTAACTTAAATACAGAATAATGAACACTTTTATTTGCAGAAAAAAATACACTATGAAATAGGAAGGACAACAAAGAAACAGGTACAGGAACCCTTTAATTTGAGTAAAAACAAAGTTTGGATTTATTTAAATATATGTTGTGTCAGATATATAAGAATTTGAAAAGTGGGAATATTCCTACAACCAAATTCTCAATTCTGATGTTTGCACCCAATATACTTTGTTTCTCCACAATTCTCAAACGGGTCCTGTATATATATATTTAGATCATGCAAAATGAGAAAATTTACATCGTCTATGAAAACCAATTTGCTTTTATTTTTTTTCCTTCAAAATACTACAAGGAACATATATGAATAATTTGTTCAAACTAATGAACAGAAGTGATTTTAATGGGGTTTTTTTTTATATCAACGACTAAAGTTTTCATTTCATTTAAATTTCAATTTCTAACCATAATAAAATAAACAAACTATAAATTGCAATGGCTAAATTCAATGTCCGAATTTATAGAATAACATATTTATCACAGATCCAACTAAACATGTTTACTTCTAAACTTTATATCAAACGCAACATAAAATTTTATTTATATATAGATACATTTGATTATATTATTTATTTAATATTAGTTAGAATAATAACAACACCAATAATGACAATTATTCAAACATTGGACATATCTTTTAATAAGTAGTTTAATGTAATTAAGATATTATTGTCAATCAAGATATATATTATTACAACTGTCAGGGACTCATTCCAAATTATTAGGAAAATTTAAGCTGGATTAATTTTCATATATTTGCTTCCGGTTTCAGATTCAAATTTCATATATTTGCCTCCATTTCAGATCAAATTTTCATACATGTATATGGCCCAATATCAAACTCAATTTTCATGTATCTGCTTTAAATATCAGATTAATTCAAAAAGTAAAATTTTATTGCTTGAGATTCCATCTTTGTTAAAGCAGTTTAATATTTCAGAAATTCAAAGATTTTAATGTCAGGATCTACATTTAATGACCAGATCTGACAGAAATAACAAGGAAGGGATGGGTCAGTTGAAATGTTAGGGACTTCATTAGGTAGTACTACTGTGATATGTCTTTCTAATTCCAGAAATAAATTTCATGATCACCTCTATTTCCACAGGATACATGTGATTCTGGTTTTCATTAGAAACCTGAGAGTAGACCATAGCTTCCTTTATCTTTATGAACATTCATGTGTAAGTTATTGAAGTCTAATTGTTGGTGGCCATTTTAAATTTCATGGATATCTGACACTTTTTGGATGTGACAGGAAATTAAGACTTATAACAAAACAGGTCATTAGTCTGTGAATGTAAAACTAAAAGTTGGTGACAATTTTAAATATGTTTTTAAGTCATATTCATATCGAAAATACATGCAATTCTTTCGAATTTGTATATATTCTGTGGAACATTCTAAAGAAGATAAGTCCAATGTATAACAAAAACATGCAAACATTTAACAAAAATAATACAAAACATTCAGGCAAAAATTAAGTCACAGTTTAATAATGACATCTGTTTTTATACACATGCACTACTATACAAAAGAAATACACTATAATATATTGTACAATAAATTGAAGTTGTGTTCTTGTAAGTATGGTACCTAAACTTGACACTTTTTCAAGTGTTCAAATAATTACATATTAAATGCTTCGTTTTGTAATTTTCCATTGGCATTTGAATGCTATTTACAGGATAAACATTTTTTATTATGAACTTTTATTGTCTTTTCTTTTAAAAAATAAAAATAAATAGCCTCTATCAGCTTTGATGATGCACAGAAGAGAGGAAGACCAGTAAACATGAAAACTGTTTGAGTTTATAAAATCTGACATGGTTTTCGTGGTTTAAAGGGATTCTCTTTCTCTGGATGTATAAGATGATCAGTTGCTATATTTTGCTCGATGTAAACAACTAGTTCTCTTAAGGTGTCACTAAGTCTAGTACGCCTCATGTCAGCATGTATTCTCAATACTTCAGCCTGTTGTTTCAGTTTACGGATATTATCCGAATCTCGAGCCTGATAGGTAGGATATGGCATTTTGAAAACAGTTTACCTATACACAATAAAAGAACTTTTGTCAAATAAAATTTCTGCATGAACTTTTAATCATATTTTATTCAAATTAAAAGGGTACAAGAAGACAGCAGACCATAACATAAAATCTTATTCTGCAACAATGTGTTGTATATAGTTATATTTATTCAAATTGATAATCTTCGAAATTTTGAGCTTCTTATAAAGTATTCAGTTATTGCAGTCTGAAAATAGCGGGACAGAGCATATCTCAGATTATTCCCATTCATGACAAGACAAGTACTTTGTTTACCCCAAAATACATTAATTAATAAACTCTCAATTTTTTTCTTGTACTTTTTATATTAATAAAACGATTTAAGCAAGAACTACCCTCAAAACATTGAAATGAATATTCAACAATAAAAAAAATAATACGAAAATGGGATGCTGGTGCTTCAATTACATGTATTCTTTTAATTGACTATGAATTAAAGATGCATTATGCAAGAGCTAAATCTGCCTAATGCAGATCTTTCTTTTGGCCTCAAATGTTATATAAATTGTGATAATGTTGCTCAGAATAAAATAATTTTAATGAAATTTTCAATATATTAATTTTGAATTATCTATTTTGGAACTATTGTAGCAAGAATGGCAAGCTCTTTTATCTATAATGCATCTTAAATGTTATTTTTGAAAGATTTTTCAAAAGTCTATGATACTATTACATGATACTAAGTGTTAAAGTAGACAACCAAACATCAAAATGGGAGAAATTTTAATATATTGATCACAATATCATGTACCGAACTGAAAAAAACTTATACATACTTGTAAAGATATTTCACAAACCCAAAACCAATTTATAAGCAACCTTCTTGAAAGATTGTAACTCTGAAAATGGAAATTGAAAGCATGAAAGTCTGTGTAAAATATACGGTAATTATTCAGTTGGCTAAAGTTTTCGAACTTGTCCATCATTCAGCGTTTATCTGCATATACAATGAACAACTGGTTGACCTCCTGTTTCTCCTGTTAAGTTTTTAAGAAAAAAAAACCCAATATAATACCACTCAATTTAAAAATTTTCAAATTCCTTGCTAATGCTTGGTTCCCACTGTCCTGTGATGTGTTACGGATAGGATTGTCCCTATTGAGTCCTGATAAGATCACCACGATTACTTCACGATTAAAACCACAATTTCAATCAAGCCCGAATCGTAAAAAGGGAACCTAGCATTTGCAAGACCAATGGTAATAAAAATTCTGGACGAGGAAACAAAACAAAGAAATTCTGAATGAGTTAGATTCTTGGAGCATTGTGAACTAAACTGAGTTTCAGGTGGGTTGGTTCCCCCCTCCCCCAATATCCTTTCGCTACAACACAGGGTGTGTCACATTTCAACATTTCAATGTTAACGATACTATATACCATGTTTTAATTAGCTTTGGAACCATACCCTCCCCTCCCCCAACATTCACAGCTTCTAGATCCGCTACTGCATTTAATCAATATAATTACAACTGTATACTCATAAAAACAACTCAAATCAACTGTGTAATTAATTGGGTGTTTTCATAGTTAACAATATATACATGTACCATGTTTAAATTAGATTTGCCCCCCCCCCCCAGCTTCTAGATTCGCTACTCCATTTAAGCCAATAAATACCCATAAAAACATTAAGAGTCAAGGTACCTGTAATTGGGTGTTTTCATAGTAACTTAACCAGTCAGTGAATAGCAGAATAAGAACCCCCTGCTTTAGTTTAAAGGAGCTAAATCGCTAACATTTGGGACCTAGAAATTGACAAAAGTAGGTCGCAACACATACTGTAGTATGAATGTATATAAACTGATTTACATTCAATGGTTTCCGTTTTTACTCCAATTTCAAATCAGTTATGTTCGGCGAAATAAGCCAGCAGTCTCAAGCGAGTGCAAATTTCTAGCCTCGTCCCTCGAGTCTCTTGATACAACTGGGGCTGAAGCGCATTATGGTACACGATTCGTGTACCAATGGTAAAATGTTTATTTTGTCTTAAATATTGGATATCAAAAGCCCATCTTTTTCCGATAAGATCACAACATGAATGTTGATTTAATATGACAAATAAATCTCGTTTTCAATGTTGAAGATTTTGGATGATATTGAGTTAGAGACTTAGCTACTCTAAACAGAAAGCTGATTATATAAAGTGTCACAAAGTAAAAAAAATCTGATATCAATATTATGTGCATTTACCGAGCCATGGAGCTTTTAATAGTCCATGACCTAGCATTCAGTAGGGATGGGTGTGTCATATTGTGAGATGGGATATCGTGACTGATACCATCGTGAAGATTCTGCTGGCACTAAAAAAAACATGCAGTGCCAGTTTTCTGAGTTGTTTCAACATAAGATTCATTGGCAACATCATTAATGATAATATTGAACAGTAATTTCAACGCACAGGGATTCCTGCAATGAGATAACAGTTTAATACACATTATAAATTAAACGCCTTAGTTCGGTTTGTCATAATATTTACCCTCCTTCCTGTCAGGATCCAAAAGTAATGGCGACTTTAATATATGATTATCCAGTCTGTGCTCAATTTTTAGTTATTGACATGAGACTGGATAAACATACAGCCAGCCTCGCTTTTAAGTTGTCTCCGACTTGAACTAAAGTTTGTTTCTTAAATGTGACCACATATTATTATTAGTATCTATGGATTTATCTATATCCGAAGTTCTGAAGTTAAATTTACACAGTGCAAGTTTCTGTGGCATTATAGAAAATGTATTAAAGTGTCTTAAATTTTATGTGTCTTACTCTTAATCGAGCCGCCTCCTAAACCCTGGGCAAACTTTCACCTTAGAGTAGTTAGGGTGACCACCTCTCCCGCATTTCGCGGGACAGTCCCGCAAAATGTTTCCGAGTCCCGCGTCCCGAAAATAAGCCAAAATGTCCCGCAATAGCTCACATGGAAGACTTCTATTACAGTAATATGCGTGAATCTTTTATGCAATAAATTTACTTATACTTACTTATATTAGTCTCGCGATAGTCTATTTGAGTATTCTGGTCAAAATACTGACAGACCCACCACAAATTGCTTTAGAAGGTTTTTTGGTACCAAGTTGTAGATATAGATGACCTTTCCATGTGCATCATACTGAAAATCCACCGAAATCCACCGGCGTGGTTCCCCCTTGTCACTGGTGCAGGACAACGTATACTCATTCGGATGAGACGTAAAAGAATTCTTGGCAGCTGGATTAGCGCTGGTCTCGGGCAGAATTTCCCTATAGGACACGATATGGCGTATGCCTGTCTTCATTAGTCCAGTCGGACGTTAAACCCCATTTCGTTTATCTTTAACCCAAAGAAATAAATGTTTTAATGTTATAAAACATAAGAAATGGAAAATCTTGCTCGCCGCCATGACAAAAATCAACAAATATAATTACCCTTCTCTTCACTACAACTACAACAACTACCCGACAACACCACGACCGCCTCCATACTCCAAGAAAATAAAATTAAATAAATATTTTTAATCCACATCTTATGATAAAATCAAATATTATAAAATCTCAACTACCAGTAGAAATCTCAGTTCTATAGAAATCTCAGTTCTAAGACAAAACATTTTCTAAAATCTCCAGCTATTCACTTACATATTGCAACATGGTCCATGGAAAACGTACTTTTTCGTATGCTGGGCCTTTATTATAGAATAAACAGCCAAAGCCAATTATTGTCAGTGGGCCATTTCAAACTCAAAACAGTCGAGGGAGAAAGAGAAAGGAGAGAAACAGACACACTATAATTCGATTGCACATAATGTCGTTAGCTATGGGGGAAACGAGGGGAGCAGGAGAAAATCCACGAGTTTAGACGGCGAATCTATATTCCTTGTGACGTACAAGTGGGTAATCGAAACCACGCCAGTTGACTCTATGACAAAACTTAACCAATCGGGCAACCTCCACCCCACCCCCTTACCCAAAGAATAATAAAGAATCACAGCAACCGAGAATATTAGCTGACTACTGTGGCATTTGCCGTGACCTAACGCCATGCATTTCTATTTTATGTATGGAAAGCTATTGGAGGACGATGGATGTATCGAATTGCTTGTTCCTTTATTTGAACGTGGTTAGCATGTGCGCGCTGTATCAAAAGGTCTGTTATTGAGTCAACTGGCGTGGTTTCGATTCCCCGGTTGTACGTGACAAGGAGTATAGTCACCTATCCAACCTCGTGGGTTTTCTCCGCCCCCCCTCCCCCGTTTCCACCCACTGCTAAAGACCATGCAAATTATTGTAATAGAATTGAAAAATGTATTAGTCGGGAAATGACCTAGTTTGTATAGAGTGAACGTTAAACCCCATCCCTCTCTCTCTCTCTCTCTCTCTCCTTTATTTCAATCTATATTATATACTTGATTTTATTGAGTATCATTTGAATTCACTTTCGCTTTATCGTCTTTGAATTATTCAAATTCAAATATATCTATTGTTGTATAACATGATGGTGTAAAGGTATCTTGTATTATTAATATAGCATGACCACGGTGGTCAATCAGGGAAAATTAAAGATGCATATTTCATAAGATTTAGATAAAGAGCCGACAGTTCTCACAATAATAGTTTAAAAAATAGATAATGAAAGGGGAATATGTTTAAAGTTTCAGTCAAGTTACTTCATTCTGAGAGGAGTTATCGTCGTTTACAGAAGAGCTTAGTCTCGATGGTCATTTTTGAATTAAATCATAAATCTGTTAAAAATCAAAACCGTCCGAAGTTATGGAGAGTTGATTATGGGCCTGGTATGTAAATACATATCGCATTAATTTTTTATAGTACATTTAAGGTCAAAGGAACGATCTGCAATATGCAAATTTGGCTCTAAAAATGTATCTTTAACCAGCATAACATCCTTTATACTCAGTTATTATAAAATCTCAATATGTTTCACAACATTCAGCATGGTTAAACATTAGCGATAAAATCTCAAAACGTTTCACTACCTTCCGCATAATTTAATTTTAGCGATGAACGATTAATGTACATGGATGATAATTTGGCAGCCTTTGACTGGGACTCAAAAATTTCATTCAATTTCACGTATTCTTTGAAACGGTTCAGTCGCAAAAATTAATAATTTATGTATTTTGTTTGAAACAAAGGTATTTTTACAGCTACAAAAAAAAAATTGTGTTCGTTTTTGTGGAAATGCAAGATGATACTGATTTCATACATGGGTTACAGATACAAAGCAGGCTGATATGAATATTGTATGACTTGTTGCTTTGTATTCATATTTATTAATATTGTTGCTATGTTTATCCTAAAACATTCGTGATAAATATCATATGAAATACGAAGACAAACCACGCTTGTGTGAAGATTTCATAGTTTGATTGTCTATTGTTGCTATGTTGAAAAGTGAAGTAACTATAATATCAAAATTGTTATGCATACTGCCTCAGTTTTTTGTTTTTAAAGATAATGTCCCGCAATATGATCAAACAAAGATGGTCAACCTAAGAGTAGTTAGTATTAGTATTAACTTAGTAACCGTTCCATCGAATATTAAGATGTTTTAACTAGCATGTAGTATTTCATGTCAAAAATTGCGATTCCGTAATAAATTAGAAAGATTCAACACGACCACAGCTCGATCTCTTCGAAAGGAATGTCGATAGGACCCCTAACGCTTTAATCCCTCTCAGTTATGTTTAAATAACAGATTGAACATTGGCTACCTCATAAATGATACAAATTTCAGCTTCATTTGACGTAAATGACTAATAATCTACCAGACTACCAGACTAATAATCTGGGCACAGATCACTAATGATTTACCCATTGACTTTAATGTTAATTCTCGTCTCTCATGACCGGCTCTAACTTTTCCCAAATTTTCGTTGGGTAGAACGCTTTCTATCACAAATGGAGCAACATGGTGCAACCTCTTGCTCAATTAAAGCACGCATGAGGTTCACCATGGAAAACTTCAGATACACAAACTAGAAGTAAAGACCATTAAACATGCAATTTTACGCCTTACATTTCATCCTGGCCAACCTCTCAACTCTCGTATCCTTCCGCTTCAAAATCATGAATATTCCCACAAACCTGGCAGAAAATGTATTTTCATCCCCTTTTCTTCGATTCTACACCAAAAAGTCAACAGATATCGCTATGCAAAAGGTGGGAGGGGGGATAGAGAAAGACTAAAAATAACTTTCGCCCTTCATTTGTGGTAACGCGGCGACGGCGAGTAGGAATATTTGGTGAGCTGTGTCAATCGTCAATCTGATGTCAAAAATCAAATTTTCCAATTCCAATCCATTATAGATTAATTCACCGTACTGCCGGCGTCTCCTCTAACTTAAAGAGGTAGTCTACCACGGGGATGGGACCCCATCGACCACCCCTTTAATTGAGAAGGTATATGAAGTCAAAGATGGAAGAAAACAGAATAGTGGAATATTTCAAGTGCGCCATCAGCAATCTAGGATCATCGACCACGACATTTGGCTTGGTATTCAGTCTCATGATTTCTGATCACCCACGCGTTCTGTTTCAAACTTTTATTGTTTTGCATGTTAATTTATGAAAAAAAAACAAACAAAAAAACAAAAACACCATTGATGGCCCAAGTGACGCATGGTCCGCGTATTTTAACCTAGGGATAAACTAGTAAGGTGCAGGTGACAATGAATGATTCGTCTGCATTTGAATCGATTGTGGACGTTTCTTTGACTGCTAATGATAATGATGATGATAAATTCTGTCAATTATATGGTTAGAGAAGTGTTGGCCTAAGTGTGGTGAGAGTTCTGGAAGTTTTTATTCCACTTCTGGACAGAGACTGTCCGTTTGACAAATTTTGGAAATCTTTTCGGAACCCAAGGGGTGAAAATTCCACCGGAAACCAGATTCATACAAACCCACATCTTCGGAAACCGTCGACCCCGCCAATAAAACCTTAAAATAGGATCTGTGTTTGTATAATGACACTAGTCCCAACATTATATTTTTTGACTTTGAGATACAAATTAATTTGTCATAACTCAAGTTATGGTCATTTAAACTTTACCTTGGCTCCTATAGAATGGGGGGGGGGGTAGCCCGTGCGCACTATATCATACGGTCTGTCATTGAGTCAACTGGCGTGGTTTCGATTCCCCGGTTGTACGTGACAAGAAGTAGGGTCGCCGGTCCGGTTATGGTTATAAGGTTGAAAACCGCATTGAGACCGCGTGATTTTTTGACACCAAAACACAAAGTGACCAATACTGTAGCCTACAGTACAAAGGTTTGTGGTAAAAAGCTGAAATAAAAATGAAACCTTACAGTTACACTTACAGAGTTCTCTGCAGAGATCTAGGCCTTTAGAAACTTATTTTCATACAACTAGAATTTGAGATTACAAAAATAGTTTTCCGTAGTTTTTAGGATCAGTCTAAACTTCGTACTTATACTAAATACACAGTTGGTTTATAAGAATGATGTATAGTAATAACATACTAAATTGGGCTTAACTTTAAAATATTCCAGACACGTACGTAAGCATTAAATTTACCGTACCGCACATTGGTCATCGTAACTTAGACAAAACTAAAGTTCAAGCTATAATAACATA